GAATCTGAAGAATATCAGAATGGTATTCTGTAAGAATTGATTATCCTGTTGCATTATCTGTATTCAGAGCAAGAGGCTACTGTCAAGGCATAGTATAGAAAGATGGAATGGTTTCTGGTTGGCAATAGGGGTCAAACAGGACTGTATTTTATTACTTTATCTATACAGCTTGTAATATTAACATCTGAGGAAAGAAATGTAAAAACTGGAAAAAGGAGCATCAACAATGTTCAATTTATAGTTGAACATTAAAAAAATTAAAGTAATGACCACAGATTGTTTATGTAATTTTATAAATTGAAGATAGAGACTGAAATGTTATCGTTGTGTGCCATGAAGTTATTTCTGACCAATGATGATGCCATCATTGGAGGGAGGGGGTCCCATGTCTTACTCTGAGGTTTGCTCCAGGTCACTCTGTGGTTTTACATTCTTAATTGAGATTTGGAAATCTGGTTTCCACTATGCTAGTTCTCACGGAAACAAATAATCTTCTGTATGTTGGCTCAATCAATCGGAATGGGGTCAAGAAAGAAGTCAAGAAAGAAGAAAGAGGCTAGGATTTGGAAGGGCTGCTCTAAAGGAACTAGACAGTGTATTCTTGTGAAAACTAGACAGTGAACAAAATTGATAGGAAGAATATAAACTCATTTGAAATGTGGTGGAGAAGTGTTCTGTGGATGTTGTGGGTTGATAAAAATACAAATCAATGCATCCTAGAACAAGTCAAGACTGAACATTTCCTAGAAGCCAAATTGAGACAGTTGTAGCCATATCATGCAAAGCTATGACTCATTAGAAAAGATAATAATGCTTGGTAAGGTAGTAGGAAAAGAGCAAGATCACATTACTTTATAATCTCCTGAGTATGCAAGACATGAGCACGACTGTTGATTAAAAGGTGACTTGAAGGTCTCTGATTTATAAGTTCAACATAAGTCAAAGTTGACTTAACGGTAATTCACAACAAACACATCAACCATATACAGGGTATAAAATTTTAAGAATGCAGGAAAAAACTCACTAATTTGTAAAGAGAAATGTAAGAAACACTGTAGTCAGTAAAATGTATTTTAGATTGAATAATATTGGTAAATGGATCACAAAATGAAGTTTGGGAAAATATACTCAAAAACTAAGCATGAATGATGTTGCAGAGCGGCATTTGAATCCTCCTTGACTTGTGATTAGGAGCTCCCGGTGGCGCAGTGGGTTAAAGCACTGAGCTGCTGAGCTTGTTGATCGAAAGGTTGCAGGTTCGATTCCGGGGAGCGACGTGAGCTTCTGCTGTCGGCCCTAGCTTCTGCCAACCTAGCAGTTCGAAAACATGCAAATGTGAGTAGATCAATAGGTACCGCTCCGGCGGGAAGGTAACGGCACTCCATGCAGTCATGCTGGCCACATGACCTTGGAGGTGTCTACGGAGAACGCTGGCTCTTCAGCTTAGAAATTGAGATGAGCACCACACCCCAGAGTCAGACATGACTGGACTTAATGTCAGGGGACTACCTTTACCTTACCTGACTTGTGATTAGTTTCCTAACAGTGAAAATGACAACCTGAAAAGTCAAGGGAGAAGGAGCAGGATAATGTAGGAAGTGGGATTCCTGGTTTGTTGCTGCTTTGATATGCTTTGGGCTGAAGCTTGGACTTGAAGTCCTAGCATGTTTGAACATGACAGACCTTAAGCCCTAGTTTAGACAAAAACTAACATCTTTTTTCTTTCTGAACTCCTGATTATTATAGGTATATATGCCCCCGGTGGCACAGTGGGTTAAAGCACTGAGCTGCTGAGCTTGTTGATCGAAAGGTCGCAGGTTCGATTCCGGGGCGCGGCGTGAGCTTCCGCTGTCAGCCCTAGCTTCTGCCAACCTAGCAGTTCGAAAATATGCAAATGTGAGTAGGTAACGGCGCTCCATGCAGTCATGCCGGCCACATGACCTTGGAGGTGTCTACGGACAACGCTGGCTCTTAGGCTTAGAAATGGAGATGAACACCACACCCCAGAGTCAGACATGATTGGACTTAATGTCAGGGGACTACCTTTACCTATGTTTATATGGGCACAGAGTGGAAGTGATCATACAGCATTTGCTGATTATGAAATACAACCCAGAATTATTTGCAGTTCTGACTTACTGTTTTTTTTTTATTAAATATGTTTTTCCCGCCTTAACTAACAATAGTGAAAATAGGGACAGAGTTGTTCTTGTATCTCACCATGCACCTCACATTGTTTCTTGAGAAGCCAGTGCTGAAGGGACCTAAAGCTATATCAGTATCCAGTCCTGTAGGGGAAAACAAGTATCTAATGCTGTAGAAGACTTGTATTTAAATAGCAAAATGAAGAGTGCATGCAGATTTGCCTCAAAGCTGTATTATACAGCCAAACGTTTAAATGATTATGAAGAGCCAAATTATATTTCTGAAAAATAAGTCATGCCAGGCTAATTTTATCAACCTCTATGGTGTTTTTTCCCTTCTAATAGCAACAAGTTTAATAGATGAGAAAAATCCTATAATTTTAGTATATGTTGGTTTCAGTAAGGCTTTTGACAAGATCCTCAGTTATATTCTTTGAGGCAAGCTGATAAAACTGGACTAGACAGTGCTGCTGTTAGGTGGATTTATAAATGGTTATCATACCAAACCAGAGAGTGCTCACCAGTGGTTGCTCTTCATTGTAAAGAGAATAAATGGGATGCCTAAGGATTCTATCCTAACCCTGTTATTGTTTATAAACAACGATGGAACAGAAGGCATACTTATCAGATATGCAAATTGGTATCCACAGAACAGGATCAGAATTTAATATGTTCTTGACAAATATGAGGGCTGGGCCAATTCTAGCAAAATCAATTTCAATGGGGATAAATGTAAATTGCAAAATCTAAGCAAATAAATTAAATGTCAATACAACAGACCTTATGACAGAAACTTTAAAGTTATTCCGGACCAGACTCTCAAAAGTACTTATATTTACTTTGTGTACCCACAAGCTGCCATTCTTGATGTTTTGTTTTAAGATGTTTTCAATTTGAAAAACCCATTAAAAGAAGATTCACAATCAACTTGAAATATGTAAAGATGTCATGTAGAAGATGGTGTGAGCTGGGGGTTTTTTGGGGTTTGTTTTTGTTTTGTTTTTTGTTGTTTTGTTTTTTGCTGCTGCTGCAGAGATTAAAATGAGAACCTGTGGAGTTGAATGATAAGGTCAGAGATTATCACTAAATATTATGAAAAGTGCCTTTACTGTAGTTGTCCAAGAGTTGTCCAATAGTGATTGCCTTGGAGTATGTGGTGCACTCCCTTTTTGGGAGCTATTTAAGATTAGATCAGCTGTTAGGATTTCTGGAAATTGAAGGCCAAAACATCTGGGGCCCCACAGGTTGAGAACCACTGGATTAGATTGATATCTTCATCTGTGTATTCTGCATGGCAGGAGATGTGATAATTTTTGACCTTTGCAACCATTAAGAGTATGATTTTAAAATCTATATTACTATCTATAGAATACAGTGCATGTCATGTAGACTAAATGCTAAATCAATAACTAAAGCAAACTATGTTAATTAGTACTCACTGTGGTCATATAAATCTAGACAAAGTAAATATATGTAATGGAAAGGACTGGAATAAAACATCTGACACAGAGGGTAGGCAAATGGGATTGTCACCTAAGCTATCCATGATGCCTGTAATGCTGGGAGTGCATAGCCATAATAGCTGTTATTATCTGCCCCCCCTCTCCCCAGAAACTAATCCTAATAGCCTTTTAACGCTATTTAAAATAGTTGGTCATTGATGCATTTTACAGAATGGAGTCCTTTCACTGGGATTACCTTGTATAGTGGCCCATTATATCAGAGTGCTCCTTTCTTTGTTCTTGGGCAGGGTATAGATAGTAATGGGAGGAGAAACCTGTTGATTCCATGGCACCTGTTTCTTGAATGCATGGTTTTTGGTGATGGTGGGTCCGTGGAGCCAGGCTAGTATAGAAGGGCTGATTTGGACAGTTGCTTGACTTGTGGCATATCATGGTGTATATATGAATGCAGTGGACATTTATAAGATAATAAAAGCCTTTGCTTTTCACCTAGAAAGTAGCCCCAGTTTAGTCTCAAACTCTTATTACTGGATTGGTTGCCAAATATTGTTTCTGTTTGGCATGGATATTTTATGTGCCAGAGTACCTTTCTGTGAAAGTATTTAACCACTTCCTTGTTATTAGCATGATGAAAGTGAATCATGCTAATAACAAGGAAGTACAATCCCCTTGTACTTTTACTTTTACAATTTGAAGAAGTGTGTCTCATTTTTGTTCATTTATTACATTGTCTATCTCCATTTTAGGATAAGATGAATGTCATTAAAATATATAAAAAGGTCTGCTTAGTGGCAAGAATGTTCATTTTAGGGAAGCTTAATTTGCACACACCTTGATGTCATTCTGATTCCTAGGTGTTGTTTATATTTGTGAAACTGCCACAACATTGCTTGATTAATGGAATTTTAAAATTTACTTCAAATTACTCATTTCTGTTATACATTTTTCTTTTATCTAGTTTTGTTTCAAATTTAATGCATTCCAAGGTATCAGTAGAGGGAGGCCACATTACATATGTATCGATTCATTAAAGGATGTCACAGCTTTGAGTTTGCATGAGTGGATCTTTTGAAGGTCATTCATTGACAGAATAGCCATAACTCAAAGTCTACTTCAGTGCAATTAACCAAAACAAACATCACTGTGAGTTTGTAGGTTTCTTCCTTCACATTACTTCTTCAAATAGCAACATGTATACAATGAGATTTCAGAATTTATTCTCCCATACCATGTTCCTGATGCCTTCCCAGTTTTGTAACATCTTGCACGAGGAAGGGATCTGAAGACTTTGAAAGCTTTTATTGATGGAACATTGAATTTTTTTATTGTCAAGCATAACTACTATCTTTACTTTTGGTGGTTTCTAATGTGATTTTTTTTCTCTCCCTTGTAGGTGAAGTCTAGTCTGGGGATGTAAACACAATGAGTGTAAACCCGCAGACTCACACAGGGCCACCCTATGGCCAACCACAGCCTGGTTATCCAGGATACCTGCCGCCTGGTTATGGAGGGCAACCAATCCCAAGTGTTCCTGCCTCTCAGTATGGTGCTTATAATGGGCCAATGACAGGATATCAACCCGCAGGCCCACCACAAGGTATTCTTTCTTGGAACTTAAGAAATCCACACCCACATTGAGCTTGACTTTTAAAAGTATTTATGGTTGTGTAAAAAATCATGTGACAAATGTAAAATTGTTTTCAACCATGGGCTGGTGCCCCAGCTAGTGACCACAACTTTACATTTTAGAATTAGAATGTCTATTGAAGGTGATGTGCTTCGCCTGAAAACTTCAACAAAGTTAAGGAGCTCAATAGGTAGAGTTGTCATTATGAATGCCGCAACTCCCTGAGGGATGCCTCAGCATACACTACTGAGGAAGAGTTGCATAATTTAATGCTCAGTCCTCTCTTCAAACTGCATTAACTACAATACTTTGTGATGTTAGGAAAGTTTGCTACTTAGAGACCAAAGATGGTACCAAAGATTTCACATTGACACACTTAAACTAAAACTAATTAATATGTAGTAAAAAAAACCATATTGCCCTGGAGCACATGTGAAAGCTGTCCATAGTATGCATGCTAAGTTTTGGGTATATTGATTTCATGCTGTTAGACTTATGTTCGATAAAGGTAAAGAGACAAGACCTCCTTCACTATTAGATTTCTCTGAAGTCAGCCTGAATGGTACTGTTTGTGTACTTTCCTTTTTGGAGTCTTGGGATTATAAAGTATGCAGGAATTCATAGGAGATTTGGTTTATCCAGTTTAGCTTTAGTGAGTTTGCTCACTGAAAGTGATGAATGAGTTGACTCATCAGGAGGAAGTTAAATGTAGCAGCTGTGCTGTTGAAGAAAAACTTCATTTTTTGGCATAATATGGCAGGTAACAACAAAATGTTTTTAAAAGAAAACCCCCAATGAAAGAAATATAACCTATCCTAATTCAGTAAATGTTTACACAGAGAAGTCTCACATGGCTTTTATAAGATCATTCAGTTTTGAGATAGATTTGTAAAGATGAAAGTTGCTGTGCAAAAATTAAGTGGCCTTGATATTTATGGGTAAAAAATGGTAGGTTATAATACATGTGCGACTATATAGAGATATACAAAGACATTTTAAGTTCACCACTGCAAAAAAAAGTCATTAAGTGGTCAAGATCAGTACGTTATCCAGGGACTCTCCAAGCCTGAACAGCTCAGAAGCAACTCTGTTTGTGGCAGGTGTCATTATATCTATCACCTATTTTATTTATCTACTTTGTGTATTTAATAACTCCACGGTATAGCCAGAATCTACAACGGGCTGAATAGAACAAATTTTTTTTAACTGTGTGGCATCACTCTAAATTTCCACAGTTTATCACTCGGCAAACACGCACCAGTGCTGTGTGTTGACTGAATCCAAAAGTACAATTTACCCTGTTGAAACCCACTTTTAGATTGACAAAGTACCATATGGTAGATTCACTTTCACTCAGAATGAAAATATTGCTTGAGGGAGGCTCTATTTGAAATAGTGTTTTTAAGTGAAATTCAGACAGCTGTTACTATCTTATTTATTATTATTGATTTACTTTGCTTATATACCGCTGTATCTCAAGCCCGAAGGCGACTCACAGTGGTTCACAAACAGTAAAAACAGTAGTATCTTAATTCATTGCTTCAATATTCTTAATTGCTAGTGTCCCACTTCTTGCTACATTTGTCCTGAGGCATATTCTCCTGCTGAAGTGAAATATGCTTAGGGTGCATCCAGACAGGATAAAAAGACCAGAAAGATCCAGATGATGTTTCTGTTCTTCCCCTTTTTGGTTTGGATATCCATCTGTGTTTTGATTGGATAGCCATCTATGTTTTACAAAAAAAATTGTAAGCTCCCTGTACCATCAAAAACCTTTTTATATCTGCTCCTCAGATCCTATTATAAAATTGGAAGCAACAGAAACAAAATCTAGAACTTTTCAATCACTCTGAATGCATCTTGGGCATTTTTCTTTATCTTGTCAAAACATTTGTGTGGATGTAGCACTTCCATTTCTGTGTATAAGAAGGAAATCCGAGAAAGTGTTGCTGAAACTTAGAATAACAATGTAGCTGCTAAAACACTGCTCTAACTTGGTTTCATTATTTCCTGTGCATATTCTTTTAACATGACTATTGAGCAGAAGCAAATTATAGCTTTCATTTGATTTGTGGCATATGTTTACAGTTTTTGAGATCTGTTTTTGTTGGGAGTGGGTGGTGTGTGTGTACATGTATGTGTACACACAAACACACATGTATATTGTCTTTCTAGGTTACTTTCCTACACTGGGGTTTTCTTCTAAGGGCTCTCCTGTGTCTCTCGATTCTGATGCTTCTTTTGCTCCTAACTTCTTAGGTAAATGCTTTCCTTCTCATGTGGTGTCTTCTGTGAAAGAATACAATTTCTAATGTATTTTCTTCTAAAATGTGTCGCATTTTTTTCTAATGGTTAATTCTAGTGCTGATTGTGAATATTATGTTCGTATGTGTTCTTTTAGCAAGAACATTAAATCATGGCTTTCCTATATGTGTATGGCACTCAGTAGATCAAAGTTTACAAGCAGATTCTACTTTCCAGTGTACATAATCTGCTGCAAAATGAATGTGTGCACAATTGTCAAATAATGTATTCTTTTAATTCTAAGATGCACTCCTCCCATTTAAACATCTTAGAATGGTAGGTGCTTTTATATAAATACATAAATTGAAACAGTCTCTTTGATAGTCCTGACAGCAGACCCAATGGAAGAAACATAAAAATCAATGGTTTTCAACCAGCAGGGCATGTACCAACTGGAAAGGGGAAAAAATGGGATGTTGAGGTTCCATAACAGTCACTAAGAATTTGCTCTATTCCCCACTAACACTGAAATTGTATTATTATTACAATATACAGTTCTTTAGCAATAGATCTCATAATAAAATTAAAACTATTAATGGAATGATTTTTGCTGTGTTTACTTCCAAGCATATGACTTGGATTTTTTTAAAAAAAATCTTAAACCTAACATATACAGAATATATACATAATATATTTAAACATACATGTCTTTCTAAAAATAATGGACTTATTATGGTGGAACTCAGGTTCTTTAATAGACTGCTTGATTGACTGTACGATATGGAAGTTAGAAAACCTTCACATATAAACAAAAACAGCCTTAGGAAGAACATGGATAATATTTTGGGATGAAAAGATATACAGTATACAGTTTGATAAAAGTCTTATGAATATAGACGAGCTGACTGATGAAACACTTGTAAGTTAACATATAAATGCAGGTTCTAAATTCTTGATTTTGGCAGCCAACCAATATCAAGTTTATCTTGAGCTGCAGAAAGTAATTTGTGCAACGTTGACCAAAAATAAGCCAGTAAAGTAAAATACTTGGCGACCTGACTTGCAGACCTCCTCCACTGTGTTTGCAATATCTAAAGATTTGTTTTCTTTAAAAGGGAATTCAATTGTTGTAGGTGTCTTTTTTATACATGGTTAGTGATAAGCACATTGCTTCATTTTTGCTTTTGCTAGTTTGTGTGTTACCTCAGAATAATAAAAGCACTAGCTCCAAAGCCCATTTTCTAACAGTTATGCCCCTATTGCATATAGGGTCCTCCCACACAGGCGCATAATGTGGCTTGGAACTGGCATGAAAAATGCTGCTTTCAAGCCACGCTGATGCCACACAAGCTAGCAAAAACAAAAAAGAAGCCACGTGCCCCAAGCTTCTGTGGGGAGACATTAAAAAGCTGGTTTGGCGAGGCTGCTCATAGGCTTGGTTTCCCACCCTACTTACACTTCCATGACCAAAAATCCCCCCCTTACCAGCACTGCCTGCTCTTTTCTCCCTGAGTCTTCATCATTAGGGAACAAAGGAGCTTGGGAAGGGACCCCCCTTCCTTTCTCCTTGAATGACAAAGTATCCCCATATGATTCCTTAGTAGGTACACTCAGGTAAGTAGGTATTATGCAAAGCCTGCTTAGGAGTGCTATCCTCTAATAATCCCCTCTTTCTGTTCTTTTTATCCATAAATCATAACTTGTTGCAGTCCACTACATTTGGTATGGAGAGAGAGGGATATAGTCTTATGCTTTATCTCCATATTGCTATTTTATGTTTTGGCCATTCAAGGTTTTGGTGTGTCATAAAGATGCAGGGCATAGTTACTATACTTTCTTGAGTTTGTGTTTATATTGCTTTTAAGAAATTTCATGTCTAGTATATTAAAAGCCTTGGCATATGAGGTTCCGCACTCTTGACTAAGTTGTATATTTCTGATACGCAATTCAATATTTATAGGTTCTCTAAGAACTCCTGCCACTTCTGGAGCAGCTGCATCAACATCTGGAACATCAGTTCCTCCCGGACAACCTCTCTATAGTCAATTTGGACAAGGAGATGTACATAATGGGATTCCTGCTTCTACAGTTCAGTTGCAAAGGTAATTATAACAGTCATCAGACTCTGAGCGTATCACTATCACTTTCTTCTGTAGAAAAACATTCTTATTTTATCATATTTTTGTAAAAGCTGACCTCATATATAAATCAAGGGCAGCTTTGGGGCTAAAATTAGGGATTTTGGTGTTGACCTATGGGTAAATCAAAGGTCATTCTGTGGAGATGGGAACATGCCAACACCACTTCAAGAGGCCAGCTGCCTCTGGCTGCCATTGCTGTCATGGCCGTTTTCCTTCCCAGGCATTTTAAAAGGCCAAAAGTGTCAGCGTGATAGTCAGTGCTTCTTTTAGATTTACCCACAATAGATTAAGCTCTCACCTATCACCACTCTACTCAGAGAAGGGGACTTTTCCTTTTTTTTTACCTTAACTCTTAAGGTACAGTACTCACATTGATCCATGGATAATTGATCAGGGTCAACGTTTTTGACTAAAATGTCTAGATTGATAAATAATTACTGTACATGCAGTAACTAAAGCTGAGCACAAAATCCCTAACATTGTTTAGGCAATTTGTCTGCTTTTAAAACCTTGTTTTTATGGAATGTCTTGCCCTTTCCTCCTTCCCATGTTCTAAAATTTGCCTCAATCCTTAAGTGCTATTTTATCATCATTCCTTTAATTTCTCAATTTTTCACATCTACCATATCATTTTTTTGCTTTGTTTTGTTAAAGCCAGATCCTGTAAATTGTTACTTAAAGCAAGCTCGATGTCTTGTGTCGAACTTGCATCCAAGTGTAGATGGTATTTCCTTGTAGCTTTAATTTTGTGCTTCTTGTACATCCTCATTTCTTATCTCCATGATTCTATATCTGGCCTCGATTTCTCTCAGTGAAAAGATTTCCCTTCTCACCGAACAAATATATCTTCCTGAATACGCTCAATAAACATGTGGCCATTGTTAAATGCATAGTGACAGAAATTCTGTGTATGAACCATTTTCCTTTCCTCCCAAAGATAGAGTGCTCTGCTATCTAGTGATGTAATGAGTTGAAGGGCATTGCACTAGTGATTGTCTAATATGGTTGATTATATATGTAAGGGAAACTTGAAGGCATGGAATTTGGCTTGAAATGAATAGTTGGTAAATCTCAAATGGCAGTTTGCTTTGAGGAAATTGGGGTCAATTTTGTCTTGTGTATTTGTCAGGTGTGTGTGCTTTCAATTTTCCTTTTAGCTTGTGGGAGCCCCATAGATTTCATGGGATTTTCTTAGGCAAACCAGAGGTGGTTGTGCCAGTTCCCATCTCTAAAATACATTTGGTGCTCCACATTCTCAGGTATGACAGTCTTGCTTTTGATTGTCTGCAGTTTTGATTATATCCCAAGGGAAGGCTGCTGTATTGTGTGAATTTTTACCAGGCAACCATGTCTTCAGGACCTGGTTACAACATGGGGGCGCTCTCCCACCTCCTTAGGACAGTACTGCTGTGTAAATGTGCACTCCCCCCCCCCCCCCCCCCCCCCCGGATATGAGAAGAGGAAAGCAATTGTAAGGTCAACAGCCAGGCTCATGTTCTTGATTCTTACAGTAAGCGTGTACAGTATTTGCCATTTATCTATATTTGAGGGGTAGGGCTGTGCTCCAGGGATGTGGAGAGCCAACTGTATAGTTTACCTAGTATTTGTTTTGGTCTCTTGCCAGAACTAATTGTGATTCACTTCCAAAAACTGAGGCTTGCAAAATGAGGCAGGTAGCAAATAAATCCCTCTTCCTCATCATCCACCTCTGACTAGTGTTTGACTCCTGTTCTGCTAGCTTTCTGATTTTAAATTCCAATGGAAACAAAACCCAGAATAGAAAAATGTATTTTCAAATTTCTGAAAAATATTTCTAAATTGTTTGAAAACGTTGTTTCCTACCTAGAATTTGTAGATTATGAACTATGTTTATCTGAGAGGTCATATTTTAAAATCTTATATAATGATGTAACCAAGTTAAGTTTTATTTCCATTGTTGTCTTTGTACTTGATACATTGCCAATCCATAGTCCATGAATTAAGTTATGTCAGAAAGTAAATTCTTAAAACATGGGAGAATATCTTTATGATCATTTTCTATATGTCAAATGGAGTTCTTTGTGCTCTTTGTGACTTACATAAATGGGTAATCCTGTTCCAGTGCAACTGAAGCTTTAGAAATGTCCTTTAGATGGAGCTCCTGCATGCTGTTCATCCCTGCTTATCTTTTTCTTTGCTGGTATTGAAAACAATCTGCAGAGTTACAGCTGTTGTGAGAGTTCTTTCTCATTTTCCTTATTAGTTGATGTTTAAGTGTCTTTATTTCTGTTTTTTTACCTGGTACTTTAATTTGCTTTTAGTTCTTTGGTTTTATTTTGGAAGATCATCTTCCTATCTGTTCAAAGGTTTACGGTACACTCCACCACCCAGATTGCCTATACGCTCTTCAAAGGCAATATATTTTCCAAGAAATCCTATTCTTCTAATACATACAGTTGGCTAAACTTTCATTTCCTGTAGTGATCAGGAGCCGCTGCATAAGAGTAGTGGCAACTTCCTTTCGTTTCCTGATAGTTCTGGAATTGCAACTCCTAACGGTCATCTTCATCTGCCATAGACTAGGGTTGCATCTGCACTTCAGAATTAATGTATTTTGACCCCACTTTAACTGCCATGGTTCAGTTTGTGGCAGAGAAGACTAAAGAGTTTGTAAAGCTACTGCTCCCAGAATCCCATGTCATTGAACTATGGTAATGAAATTGGTGTAGGCCAGCTGCCTACTTGACCCCTTTTTCACCCAAACACTACACAGATGAACAAGAATAGTAAGTTTATTAAGAAAAGAGCATATAATATAAAAACAGTTTCAGAATACATCCATGAGCTAGATTTCCAAAAGCTTAGCAAAAAGCAATGACCAATTCTGAATAGGAGTTTAGAAAAGCACTTAAGACAAAAGGAAGGAACTGTAATCCAAGGGTTGTTACATTTAAACTAAAATTATATCCAAAACTCAACATCAACATAGTCCAGAGTCTTGATACTTAAACTCGACTATAATCCCAAAGGGTTGAAACTCGAAACAAGATTTGTAATCTAAACAGAAAGCATGGAACTTAACCAGGCAAACAAGATACAGACCCAAGAACAGAACTAACTCAACGCTTCCAAGACAGACAACTTGACACATGAAATCCAACGTTGATCTCAATACCAATCACTGACTCCAATTCCTTAAGAATACTCCCTCTGGCCCATGGAATCACCTTTTCTCACACCTGGGTCTCTATTTTGCACTATCCCATCTGATCTGTAAATGCTGGGTTATTGGTAGCCCTTCTGTCTCCTCCATATTCCTTTCATAAGAATCACTGTCTGTTTCCCCAACAACAGATCTACCCAAAACATTCCCATCATCTTGAAAAACACTTTCGTTTTCCCCCACAGAAACATCAGGCTCAACCTCAGAGGCTTCACAGGCCTCAACAATTGGTGTCATAGAATCATAGAGTTGGAAGAGACCTCATGGGCCATCCAGTCCAACCCCCTGCCAAGAATCAAGAATATTGCATTCAAAGCACCCCTGACAGATGGCCATCCAGCCTCTGTTTAAAAGCTTCCAAAAAAGGAGTCTCCACCACACTCCGGGGCAGAGAGTTCCACTGCTGAACAGCTCTCACAGTCAGGAAGTTCTTCCTAATGTTCAGATGGAATCTCCTTTCTTGTAGTTTGAAGCCATTGTTCTGAGTCCTAGTCTCCAAGGAAGCAGTAAACAAGCTTGCTCCCTCCTCCCTGTGACTTCCTCTCACTGCATTAATAGAATTAATGCAGTGTCAAACTGCATTAATTCTGTAGTGTAGATACACCCTAAATCTGTGGTTCAAAGACCAGGCATTAGAATAATAAAGTTGGAAGAGACCACATTGTCATCTAGTCCAACCCCTTGCCATTCAGGAAAAGCACAAAGTTTCCCTGACAGATGACTATCCAGCCTCTATGTAAAAACCTCCAAGAAGGAGCTTTCACCATACTCCAAGGCAGATAGTTCCACTGCTGAAATAGTTTGGTAGTCTCTTTCTTTATTTGACTGGCATGACCATGGTGATCCGGGTCAGTAGCTTGCTAGTCACCCATTTATGAGTCATACAGACCTTGAAGAAGGCAGACTGATTGCTTACTCATACCTGCAGTTCCCTGAGGGTGCATCTTCATTGTAAAATTAATAATTTGACACCACTTTTAACTGCCATGGCTCAGTGCTATGGAATCATGGGAGTTGTAGCTTTACAAGGTCTTTAGCCTCCTCTGGCAAAGAGCTCTGGTGTCTCAGCAAACAACAACTCTCATGTTTCCATAGCACTTAGCGGTGTCAAACTGCATTAATTCTGCAGTGCAGGTGCACCCAAAGTGATTATCTGTGAACTGTAGCACACTGTTTTCCTCCCCTCTTGATCTTAACTTCCTCTTCCCTGGGGTTTAATGTATGTGGCAGAAAGAAACTGAGGTGATGAGATGGGAAGGAACTAGGAATGTGTGTGGTGATGGGACAGGCTCCACCACTGACCTTCTGAGGATGCATCTGCGCATCATGTGAATTCACAAATGGATAGCTGAAGAACCACAGTTACAACTTTTGAAACCTATCCATTATGATAAACCTGTTTAGAAAATTCTGTAGCCACTGGAAAGATCCCCCCCCCCCAAATTTCTTTTATATGAGGCTGAACAAGAGCAGCAACAAACATATGCTTATTATAACAAATGTTCTTTCCGCATCTCTCCACCTAGGCCTCCTCAGCAGTTTATGCCTGGCACAACACCCGCTTCTGCTAATCAGCCAGCAACTTTCCAGCAATATGGGCTACCTCCAACAAGTACACAGCAGCTGACCAATCATATGGCTGGAATGCAGATAGGCGGTACTTCAGCATCTGTTCCTGCCCTAGCGGGGATGAGCTACGGTGAGTAACTAAGGTATTTGAATGTTGCATGAATGCTTACATAGATATATTTACATTGGAGCTTCTTAGAGAATAAAGCTGCTACAGAAACATTTCTATTCCATTTGACAAATAGTATAAAACGTAGAAAAACATCTTAAGTTCTGAAAATATTGTACATTATATCATTTTAACTGGATCTCAGATTGGAATAATATTTCAAAATATTAAAAACTTTTCAGTCATTTGTTTGGCACATTAAATGGCAAACTTTTAAAAAAATCGAAGTTGCTAAAAGCCAACTTGGGTCCCATGATGGATGGGAGTTTCTGATAAGTGAGATATTAGAGGCACAATTTCAAACAGTTCCAATGAGGATGAATAATAGGAGGTGTCTAATGAAACTTTGTGTGTAATTGTACCATGTTGTCATCATGAAATATACTGCTTTGAAACTGGATCCATCATTTTGAAACACCCTGCATTTCTCTAGTTGAAAGAGGATACAATCTCTCAGTGTGTAGTATCTTAGGTCAGTTGGATATGCCAGGAGGAGAAAAACATTTTACCAATAATTCAATGTGGAAACAAAGCATGACTATAGTTTCACTTCTGTTTCTTAGGTCCCCCGACATCAGTTCCACCTGCCTCAGGAAGTTTTACTGCAACTGGAGCTGGGCAATATGTATCATATGCAAACCAAGGACCACCACCTCCTACCATACCCCAAGGATTGCCTCCCACAAGCTTGTCTCAGGGTCTTCCTGTGGCACAAGCTGCCGTTTCTGGTCCTCCGTCAGCCCCACACCTTTCCTCTCAACCTCCTGGGTTTGGCCCACCACCCCTTTCTTCTGGGATTGGAGCTTCCAGTTATGCTCCTGCTGCAGGGATTTCCAGGCCTCCCTCAATGCCAGCTGGATCCTTGCCTGGTAGTGGGCTCATCACGTCCCAACCAAACCATGTGACGTCACCACCACCTCAGCCATCTATGACAGGTCCGCTTCCTGGACCACCAATGGCAGGCTTGCAAGGACCACCTCCCACTCATCCTTCCCAGCCAGCATATGCGCCACAACAAAATGGTATGTTTGATACAGTGGTGAGAAGGGTCTAGAGAAAAGCTCAATCTCATTTGACCTGAATATTGTAGTAGCTATATTATTCTGGTGTTATTTTTCTCTAAAATATTTTGAATAACTAAGAAAAAGAGCAATTTATGGTCAGTTATTATTGTAATTGTGTTTCTTCCATTTATCTTCCAGTCATTGGAGAGCAACTGCTCTTTGATGTAAAATCAGCCTGAATTTATTGGATTTTTAAAGTGTGTAAAACTTCTTGTTAGTTACAATAGAGGACTTCCACGTCCTTCTCTAATTCAAGTCTTATGCTGTCCTCCCTTCACCCATTTTAATTCATTGTAAATCGTTTTACCATCTCTGGTTTCTCAATTTGAAATCTCATAGAGCATAAAAAACTAGTAGACCCTAGAGTATATAAAATTAACAATGAAATATATAATGGTTCTGTTGAAATCAAGGGAACACATTAGACACGCCTAATTTGGCCTGCTGATATCAACAAGTCCAGTCTTATTCCAGATCCAACCCAATGGTTTATTCTTCTAGTTGCATATTATGTTGCTTTATTGTGGATTTGTTTAGAGAACAGTGGTGTTGAATGAGGGAAGTAGTGTCGTTTTAAGCTGCTTTTCTTTCCTCACTTAGAATTACAGGCTTGCAAAACTTGTCTGGTCAGATTTGATTCTTTAAAAATGATGTATTTCAGAAATGCTTTAAACATTTCAGAATGTCCTGTTTCAAAAATTAACCTGCATGTCAGGATTACCTTTCAACTACCTTTAAATCAATTTTCCTCAAGGTATTTTTGTTCAAATTGTGACTTGCACTTTGTACCATCAGTCTCATTTATTGGGCAGTTGTTCGTAGTCACTTTTAAATTGTAGATGTACTATCAAAGATGTGCTGGTTTTAATTTTAATTCTCTTATATATTTCATTCTTGCGTATATATTTTTCAGGGTCCTTTGGACAAAATCGAGGAAATCAACCAAATTATGGTGCTGCTTATTCTGGGCCAGCAAATTATGGGAGTCCACCTGCGCCAGCACCTCCACCAAAACGTCTAGATCCAGACTCCATTCCTAGTCCAGTAAGTTACTAAAATCAGTTTTAGAACTGAATATCCTTGTTCTAGAAGTTAAGTGCTGCTGAAGATTTGCCTCTTTGTAGCTTCTCCCACTTGCTTCAGTTGTGTTCACTTGGCAGTCCTAGGGGATTTTCACATACGTCTTGTTGGCTTTCATGGCATTCCTGATCTTATCTGTGGATCTGTTTATACAGACAAACGGATCATTATAGATGTTGTCTGCGGTACTGCCTATGACAACAACAACCAGAAAAAGATCACAGGAATTATGGTGGACAGTGTTTGTTGATTGTCTGGTTCAGGGTGTGCTCATGCAGAGAAGGTGATTTTAACTGACTTTCGGATATGGAAGGCACAAGAAGTGATACTACCTTCTGCGACTGATGGCTGGTTGTTGTTCCACTTGTGGAGTGAAGTATAATATCAGTTGGTTTAGTTTCTATCTGGTGGCTTTTCCTTCCATTATTTGAATGTTCTTTTCTTTGTGGTCTCTGTCCACAGCTCAAGCTGTGCAGTGTGGCTTGGATCCAAAGAACCATAGAAATAGTTGTAAATGTTTACAGTGGCAAAACATTTGAAACTTGGGGGGGGGGGGGGGGGGGGGGGGGGGGTTCAAAGGCAGTTTGATATTTGAAGTGAAAAGCCAGAAATCCACCTATATGTGCTCTTAGTTCTTTACCAGCTTGAGAATGTAACATTGGTATAAATTTTGGTATGAGGATTTCTTTATATTTTGCATTTCATTTTTGTCAGGTTCAGGAAATGCCGAAACATTATATTTAATTGTATAGATTGTGTTTTGAGTGACTGTGTCATTAGTTAGTTTTACAATCTTTTAATTGTAAAAGATAATGACAAAACGATTCACACTTACTGGAATTAGCAGCGTAATGTGAATTCTGAAGAGGTTTGGAATGTGTACTATTTCCCTCTGATCATTGCAAGCCTTACCTTTGCAATTCTGGTGGGTTTCATGGATATGTTGTTCCAAAGGTCATAAGGTGCTTTTTGTAGTCTATCTCTGAAATCACCCCAGTATGTCTGGCTTTATGCTGTTACACTAACATAGCTTGCAGAAGATGAAGATGAAGTTAGATTTACCCTTCTGTGGGGTAAAATCTGGATCTGCTGCTTGGAAAGCTTCAGGCATGCTTATCAGTGTACTTCCTTCTGTGTGTTTCCTTTAAATTAAGTCTCTGATGAGTTGCGTCTCATAAAGTGTGGTCTGAATGCCATAGTCTCTCCATATTCAAACTAACTAAGCATATGAGCGGCCACCTAGGTTCTCTCTCAGCATACTTCCATTGGGAGAGCAAAATGAGAAAATGATGTGAATAGCTGAAGCTGTGTTATTTCCCCTTTTGTTGCATGATCTGTTGTCAATAATGAATATATCTAACAGTAATGGAAGCAGAGACAGATAGGAATAACATTGCTTACAACTTCTGTTTTACTGTTCTTTCTCTTTTCCCTTTTTGTGGCAATTTTACTTCTTTTTTTCTTTTTAAACAAAAAAAGCAACTCAATGAGCTGCCACCTCAGCAGAAACCCAGACACAGGATAGATCCTGATGCAATTCCTAGCCCAGTAAGTGCAGTGTCTGTCTCTCTGTCCGCTATTGTGTGCATGTGGGTGGCTCCTGTATATGTCTGCAAAGTAATCTTCCCCTTGCTAACTGTCCTGGTTTTAGTCCATCATTCTTATTCTATCTTTATTTCTGCTCATAACATCACAATACATAGAGTAAAATATCACAAACTTTGAAATCTTCATCCCATCCCAAATCAAGGCACACTTGAAGCTTGGCATTGAAAGAAACATGTGATGTAATATATCTGCCTTTCCTGAGTATTAGTTGTTCATAAACAAAGTGTCTCTAAATAATTCAAATATCAGCTTTGCACTAGGAATGACAAATCTTACATAATTGCTTAGGAATTTTTAGAATGTCCAGTGGTTCTGAAATGAATGGGGATGCCCTCTACCACAAAAATAAGAATGAATTATAAGTTTTCGGCTGATGTATAATTTGTACTATATATATACTCAGGGCTTATTCTTTAACAGAATTTTTCTTGAACTTGTTTTGGCCGAAAATAATTTCTCTTCTTTAAAACTTCCATTGAAGTTTATTTTTTAGAGATAATCTGTTCCCTTCTAATTAAATTTATAAGAGAAAAAATGGAAATGGTAAATACATCAAACTGTAATATTTCACAACAGTAGGCTGTCCAGTGCATTTCAGTAAGAGAAAATGTTCCATGATAGTATTATTCTAATAATAGACAAAATACCTTGGTTTACGATGAGTTTGTGAATTATCACTTGCCTATTGCTCCTGTGTCGTGTCTTGGGATTTCACTGAAGTTGGCCACAATGCTAGAATCTCAGCAGTGGTGTACCAGCTTCAGCATTTGTAGAATTGGAACAGAAAAATTTCTTCTTTGCATGGTCACTCAACTTTTGTACACAGTCTTTCCATTGGTATATTTCAGATGTGAAGAAATTGGTACAGGTATATCTCAGTTAATAAAGTAGATGTGTCCCTGGGCATTATGTTAACATTTTTTTTTTGTAGCACAGACCAAAAAATAGCATGGAAAAAAATCAGTATAGGTTCCTGTATCACAAGAAAAAGGAAAAAAAGAATAGGTTAAATATGTTTCATCAGACCTTTTATTAGAATTAAAGACATACACATGTGAAATGAAATAACCAGGTTGGGTAAAGCCTTGCATGAGCATTTAAAACACTTTGGACCTTTTAGGGACAAGACTTTTTCCAAAATGCATCCAGGGATGATTTTTTTGTTTTCCCTTTTTATGATTTCCATTTTGGTATCCAGACTTTCAGATCTATATTTTTAGAAATGTTTTGGGAATAGTGAGTGAAGCAGGCATTTCTGCTATTTTCCCACTCTTCCCCCTTGTTTTGTTGTTTACAGGTGCTCAGTAAGGGATTCTAGAGCCAGCTGCTGTTCACCTTGCCTGTTTTATACTTGCACAACCACAGTTTGGTCAGCTAGAATAGAATCTCATGAGCACTGCTTCCTCAGTCCACATCAAGGATTATTGCATTGTTTACTACAGATATGTTGCTTCCAAAGGTCTGTTTTTCCAGCCCTCCTTCATTATCTTCCCAGCACTCATGCTGTTAAAAAACATCTTCCAAATAGAGAATGGACAAGAGGCTGGACAGGTGTAAAAAGGCTTTGTAAAAAAGAAGGCTTTTCTCAGAGGCTTTGTTAACTGAATTTGCCTATAATTCAGTCAGTACTCTTGAAAAGCAGTATTGCAAAGTGACGAATGGTATGAATGGTTTACTTTAACAGGAGTAAAACTATTGCACACGGATTGCCAGAGAGTGTTATCTTTCCCTATGGGAGGCTCAAATAAATCTTCATAATCTAGGTGTTCAAAAACACTTGTATTAAATATTAATATACAATTAGAATGTGCTTTATTTTATCCTGAGTGTTTAGAAGGAGAATCATTTAGATTCAGGATCCTTATATAGCCATTATTTTTCTTGTAGACAAAATTACTATTAATGTGATTAATTAGCACTTCTTTACAGCAATGTTGTTTTTAGATTTGAACAAAACTTCAAAATAGTATTAATCTTGATTAGGGAACTGTAAACTAAGGAAAATGACAGGAGACAAATTAGGGATTATAACTGATTAAGAAGCAGCATATTGGTAGTGAAAGAGAAACTCTTATATTGCCTAACAGGCAAGTGAGTTCTTTTCCATGCTTTGTAATTAAGACAGTCCAAACTACACAGGATGAATATGGTATGAAGAGGGCTGGAAAATAGTATAGCTGGATATGAAGCAACATGCAGGTAGCCTTTTTTCTCTATGGCTAGATGGTTTTTCTGTTTTGTTTTGTTTTGGAGGATCATTTTATCATTTAAGTCTCTACTATTTGAAATGTTTGGTTGTTTTGGTCTCAGGTGTGACTTGAGAAACTACAAGTCGCTTCTGGTATGAGAGAATTGGCCATCTACAAGGACATTGCTCAGTGGATGCCCGGATGATTGATGTTTTTACCATCCTGTGGGAGGCTTCTCTCATGTCCCCTCATGGGGAGATGGAGCTCCACAGATGGGAGCTTACCCTGCTCCCTGGATTCGAACAGCTAACCTGTCTGACGGCCAGTCCTGCCAGCACAAGGGTTTAACCCATTGCTCCCCTGGGGGCTTCAATATTTGACATGATAAACCCCAGATACAAATTTTGTCATCTTGAAAGATTTCTCTTCTGTTGTTTAACTTAAAACTCCCAGGATACAATTTTTTAAAAATTACAGAAATACTGTTTAAATGCGTGGACATGAGATTTTCAGACATAGGTAAATTTTGTTAGAATTTGCTGATGAAATATGAGAAGGAATTTTCTTGGGCCACAGACTTTAGATTAGTTGACATTACATCTTGTATTACAGACTTTTAATATTTCAGTTGTATCAGTGTTCTTGAATCTTCTGTTGTATATGTAAAAACCTGAAAAGAACTAATTAATAGAAATAAACTGCATATACTCATGTATAAGTCGAACATTTTTGACAGAAATAGCTCCAAAAATCTAGGGTCAATTTATGCACTGGTCAGTGCTGGAATTTGTGACCCAGGCCAAAGGCAATGACAAGTGGCAGAGATGAGAAGTGTTCCTATTCTATTATCTTCCCTTGATTAAATCAAAAAGAAAGCTGTCCCCCTCTTCTTCACCTTCTTCTTCAGCCTGAGCAAAGTTTATCAACTATGCGGGTGAGCCATTTTGGGCACGTGAGGTGAGCAGAGCAGTAGTGGATTTTTAAAATAAGAGATCTCTGGATTAGTTTCTCTGCAGAGAGATTGTGGCATACATTTTTAATAGGAGCTTAGTGTAAAAGCACGTGTGCCTCTTTAAAATGTCAACTATAGTTTCTATGCAGAGAAGTTTATGCAGAAAACCCTTGTGAAAAATGAACACTGCTCTCCACTCCACCTCAAGCACCCACAATGGCTCCACCACATTGCAAGCTAAAAAGTAAGGAGAGAAAGGAGAAGGGACTGCCTTTTTTCTCTGTTTGGGCAAGGAAGGGGTAATGGAATGGGAGTACTTATTGCTTCTGCCTATCATCCCTAACTTTTGCCATCCACCTATCCATTGCTCAAAGCAAAATCAATAATTTTGGCCCCCAAAACTGCTCTCGACTTATACATGAAGTTGAGTTATATGTGGTAAACTATCTGTACTGTTCTATTTACTGGCTGATCACAAATCTTCTTTGGCTACAGGCTACTTTGTAAGTCACCAGTTCTTGCACAACATCCATCATCTGCTAACTTGCTGCTTCCCATTTTAGATTCAGGTAATTGAAGATGACAGGAATAATCGTGGGTCAGAGCCATTCGTAACTGGAGTCCGTGGACAAGTACCACCCCTCGTCACTACCAATTTCTTGGTCAAAGATCAAGGTAAAAATAATGTTCATAAAGTCAAAGATTCCAATCTCTCCTCCTGCCCCCCCCCCCCCAAAAAGGAAGTGACATGACTCTATCATATTATAGATTTAGATAACATTTTTGAGGATAGATGGATCTTGTGTTCAGAGATTTGGAAATTACACCTGAACATCAACCAATCATTGACACAATATAAATGTCCACAAAGGAGGATACAAGAATTTGGGCTTCAAACCAAGACCTCGCACAGCAACTGTACTAAATCTAAGCTGGCCTTGATGTGCTTAGTACGAGTATAGAAGAATAGTTGCAGATCATGTGTATGCTCAGTTTAAGAAGTTTTGAATCAAGATGAAAATCAATCCATGAGCTTTTTGAAGCCATTCTATAGTGCCCACAATATTTATAGTGTCTGTTTGACTTAGCAAAGAAAAATCAATTTTCAGACATAATGGGTTGTAATGAAACCACAAAAGTGGCAGAACTTTGTCATGAAAATATCACCTACTGTGAGTGTCAAATACTATTGTAGTTTCCATATCTGTAGGCACATGTATTCTGGGATGGAGTGATTGTAAAATGATTGTGTGATTGAGGGGGAAAAACTGGCTATCAGGTTGAAGAACAGAGAAGTTGTAGCTTGTTCACACAGCAGTAGCTGCTGCTTCTGCCCCCTTCGGAGTGCAAATGGGGTGGTGAGAGAGAGAGAGCAAAGGGGAGACTGGTTATCTTGGTGGAGATGGAATATCCTAGAATATTCATTTCTAGGATGAAAATAGTCATTTCTACCCTCACACAAATAGGTTTCCTGCCTGTGCAGAAACTCAATTTAAAAATTTAGAGCTGATTAGCTTTGAAAGACCCACCACTGCCTTGTGAAATATTGCAGAACCCTAAAAGAAGGGAGGGAAGCCAGGTTTGTGCAAGGGTAATGGAAAAAACACAGTTACAGCTAAGTGACTTGGTCTTTTTCATGGTCTCTGTGCTCAAAAATAGGTGGCTCTGAAGCTTACCATCGAATGGTGGGTCAGCTCACTGAAGAACAGGAGACAGGACAGCATGTCCAAACTAATCATCCACTCGAGTACCGCAGTCTTATCTATAATGTGTAATGTAGAGACTATCTTGTGCCCCTGCATAAATCTGGAAGTTGAATTCCATGTATCAAAACCTTCATAGAATGAACCTTCAATCTATTTGATATAGGTCATTTGGCCAGCTCATGCAAAATTCTGATAGCCTGAGCCTTCTGTTGAAACTGTCTTACTGAAGGGACTTGCCTCCCCTTTTGAGATCCACTAAAAAGTCTGTTAGTCTGACAAAAAGAGGCAGTTGAATGAATGCAAAATGCAAGAGCCCTGCAGACATCAAGATGATGAAAAGACTGAGAAATCCATGACCTCTTCTTGTTCTGGGACAGAATTGGTGACATTTGGTGTTGGCAAGAAAAGCTAGAGAACGCTAGCACAGCTGGGAAAGTCTGCTAGAACGTTCTCCACACTTGCTAAGTATATGGTGAACGAATGGATATGCCCTTGCACACACAAATCTCAGAGAGTCATGGCAAACGCCAGAAACAAAGTCAAATGGCTTTCTCCTTACCTGTTGATGTAACACACCAGGGTGGTACAGCAGAGGGCTCAACAGTTCAAGAAGTTGAAGTTGTTGACGGAGTCAACTTATGACCAGAAGGTCTGGTCCGCTTTTTCTGATCAGGGTCTGAATGTGCATTCTGATAGTCCTGACATAACTGTCTTCTTGCAAACAGACTTGCTATGAAATGTATGGCCTTTTCTGCATTAAGGTAATGGGGGGGGGGGGGGGGGGGAGCAGCAGTAGATAGAACTGAAACCATGAAAGTAGGTGTGGTCATCTAAACCAAAAGAATGGTTGAGACCAAAGCAGCAGACAGAGACAAAGAGGCAGAGCATGTGACACTGTTTAGAAAGGAAAATTGAAGTATTGCCCTCAGGCACATTTAAGGCAGCCACTTCAGACACTCAAAGGGATCTATTCCAACAATAGGCCCTCAGGCAGGAAGTTCTTTATGAAGGCTGGAAGATGAACCTTTTGTTTATCTCACATAACTGAGAAAGAAGGGAAGAGATGGGGATAAGAGGAAGACAGAAATAAGTGAAAATATAATGGTGATAAGCATCCCCAGTTTTTAGGGTGATATAGACTGAAATTCTCTGTTCATAATTTGGGTGTCTTTTCCTATACCCTGATGCCAAAAACAGGTTGGCGTCAATTGCTGTCATCTCAAGAGTTGTGTTTCAGCTGGACCTTTATCCCGCTATGCTTGCACTAACTTATTTCTTCACAAGTGAATGGAAACTTGATAGATGGCTACTTGAAATATCATATTGCACGTGGCTCATTATAGCCTAGATTCTACAGGGTCAAACTATCTTGTGGCATACACATGCATATTTTGTCTGACTTGCTTTTCTTATTGAGCTGGGTTATGGTATTTTCTTATATAAAGAATTGTGTAGGCTGCTTTATTCTGTGCTCATCAGTAAATGAAACTGAAATCCTCAAACTTTCTCCAGTAAGGAGGCTAATTACTAATTACAAGGAACTTGTTCTGCTTCTTCATTCAGGTGTGATCTCCCCCCTCCCTTTACTGATCTTGATCTTGGAAATTGAAGAGTTGTGTGACAGATTATAGAAATATAAACTATATGTACTGTTCTGTGAATCTGCAGATTAAGAGGAGACTTGGATATTGTAGGCACTCCAGGTTGCTTTATATGAAGAAATATTGTATGTTACTGTCTCTGGGTCTAATCCGTTTTTGGCTTACATTAGGGTTATATGTTTGCCAGCCTTTATCTTCAGAGCACAAAATTTGATTCAGACCAGACAAGATCATTTTGGCAAAGGCAAATTTCATCACCCTCACCAAACTTCCTGGGGACTGCATCCCTGCACCAGTGAAATGGCACAGGTGCAACAATTCTTCCCCCCAATACACACACACACCTGGTATAAAATGTTGTGCACTAGGTTTTGCATACGTTGTTTTATATGGGAATTACAGGTAGTCCTCAAGTTACAAACATTCAGCTTACATATGACTTCTAGTTACAAATTTGGGGGTGAGACAACAGGGAGTGAGAGGAAATCTACCCCTCGAAAGGGAAATTCACTCTTGTAAGAGTTATTATGGTAAAGGGTGTCTGTCTCCACTGAAACTTTCTCACCAATCCTTGGCCCCTTCCACATAGTGAATAAAATCCCACATTTTCTGCTTTGAATATATGACAGTGTGGACTCAGTTCAAAGAAGATATTGTGGAATTTTCTGCCTTGATATTCTGGGTTATATTGCTGTGTGAACTGTTTCCACAACAATCCAAATTTTTCAAAATCCAATCATCACAGGGACAAAAAGTGAAGTAATATCTTCTGATCAGGGACACCGACAACAAAACACACTCTACTGGGGTGCTAATCCTTTCCTATGCTATCAATAGATAGATATTTGAAGTTACACTTTCAAAATGTACCTGTCCTGTCTTATGTACCAATTCAGTTTAAGAACACACTTACAGAACCTATTTTATTGATTGGTTTGCAATCTCATGTGTCATCTCTAACATGATATATTGAATAAATGTTTACGTCTATTTTGACACCAGCCAGAAACCTTATATGTTGTCCCTTTAATCGTCTATCTTGCTAAGATTTTTTATTATTATTTTCTTTGTTCAGCATGTAATTATTTTTATGTGACTGCTAGCTTCTTTGGGAAAGCTATTATTAAATAATAGATATAATACTTTTAAATGTAATGTGACTATAAGTTAAGTATAGATGGACAGGTAATATTTTGATCTTTTCTTCTTTATCAGGTAATGCAAGTCCACGCTACATAAGATGTACATCCTATAACATCCCTTGCACTTCAGATATGGCTAAACAGTCCCAAGTTCCTCTTGCTGCAGTCATAAAGCCTTTGGCCTCACTTCCTACAGAAGAGGTAAGGTCTCTGTCTCAGGTGATATAGATTTTTTTAAAAAAGGTGTAGAACATGATTGAGAATGTTCTTTTTTCTTGCATATGTAATCTTTATATTTGTACTCTACCTAAATTAAATTAGTCAGATGTGTTCACACTAATTAATGTAGCTTTTTGTTCTTGATCTTGAACATTGCTAAGTTTGTCTTTATTTGATTTTAATCACTGTATTTCAATATGAATATTAAGTAAATACAGAGTTTATGGTATAGTATTAGTTAGGCCTATTTTAATAGTAAGTCTCAAGCAGCTAAAAATGACATTTAGCTAACATCTAACAAGCCCCCGCGTGTGTGTCGTTTAATTTATTTATTTATTTACTTTGCTTATATACCACTGTATCTCAAGCCCGAAGGCGACTCACGGCGGTTCACAAACAGTAAAAACAGTAGAAACAGCAGTGGTTCCATACAACATATAACAATTGACTTAACACATTATCCATAAATTACCAATAAGCAGTTACAATGCACAATTATTACAAAAAACAACCGTACCCAATCTTCTCATCATCCAAGCGTAGTCCAGGTTCGTCGTCCATTGTTCCATTCCTATGTTCCATTACCAGATGGCACTAAATTACTCAAACGCCTGCACAAACATCCAGGTCTTCACCTTTTTGCGGAATACCATTAGAGATGGTGCTAGTCTAATGTCCGTAGGAAGGGCGTTCCACAGCCGAGGAGCCACCACCGAGAAGGCCCTATCTCTCGTCCCCGCCAGCCGAGCTTGAGAAGCAGGCGGGATCGAGAGCAGGGTCTCCCCGGAAGATCTCAAAGTCCTGGTGGGTTCAGAGGCAGAGATGCGGTCAGATAGGTAGCTTGGGCCGGAACCGTTTAGGGCTTTAAAGGCCAACGCCAGCACTTTGAATTCAGCCCGGTAGCAGATCGGTAGCCAGTGGAGTTGGCGCAACAGGGGGGTTGTATGCTCCCTGCGCTCCGCTCCTGTTAAAATCATGGCTGCCGAGCGTTGTACTAGTTGGAGCTTCCGAGCTGTCTTCAAAGGCAACCCCACGTAGAGAGCGTTGCAGTAGTCTAAACGGGATGTAACCAGAGCGTGGACTACCGTGGCCAAGTCAGACTTCCCAAGGTACGGGCGCAGCTGGCGCACAAGCTTTAGCTGTGCAAATGCTCCCCTGGTCACCGCCGAAACCTGGGGTTCCAGGCTCAGCGATGAGTCCAGGGTCACACCCAAGCTGCGAACCTGCATCTTCAGGGGGAGTGCGGCCCCATCCAACACAGGCTGTAACCCTATGCCCTGTTCGGCCTTGCGACTGACCAGGAGTACCTCTGTCTTGTCTGGATTCAATTTCAATTTGTTCGCCCTCATCCAGACCGTCACAGCGGCCAGGCACCGGTTCAGGACCAGGTTAACTGAGAGTTTAGTGTAGTACTTGGCATATTATCATAATTTTGAACCCATTATTATAGCTGATAGGGGGAAAATGGTGTCACTTTTGGAATCAGCAGGTCAAATATACACTAAAACATTTGAGACACTAAAATTTAAGTTGATTGGTGTTTCCCAGAGAAAAATGCTCATATTTTTGTCTAAATTACATTGCCAAAATGGAGGTGTGTATTAAATTCAGTGGTGCATAAGAATCACAAATATAAACCTACCCGCGTGAAAAGGTCCTGAGGAACCCGGAACCCCGGAGGCCAATCAGGGAGGCAGAGGGCACAAAGAGTCAGTTCCCGGTGGTGGTGGCATAGATAGATCCTGAGTGCATATATATATATGTGTGTGCATGATTCACACATGCACACATATATATGTATATGACCAGATGTGTATATGTATATGACAGATATAGTATCATAGATTTGAAAGGGACCCCTAAAGAAGGACAATTATATGTTGCATGATCCAGAGTAGGCAAACCAGACAACCTCTACATCAACACTGACAAAGAAATAACAAGAAATACTGCTTACCCACAAGTATAAAGAAATTATATATATTAGAAACCAACACTTTCTCATTGGGCCACAGCAACGCGTGGCAGGGGACGGCTAGTATTATATAAATGCTCAAACTTTACTCAAACTGCTGTTAATTCTGTCAATAAGTAGCAAACTTTTTATGGGAGCGGGTGTATGACAGAGAATAATGATGGTCATCTAAGCACTGGGTTGGGATCGTGCAGAGTTTTCAAATTTGCAAATGTTGTTTCCAGTGTTCAGGGACTTCCTTCACAGCTGTGTCTTCCACCTGTTAGGGGCAATTAGACATTTGAAACCAGCAAATATTTAAAAGTATATAGGAGAAGGAGTATTGAAGCAAAATCCAGTTTTCAGAATGGCTGAAATGTTAGCACCTGTCCTTGAGAGATATTTCTTCCTTCGTTCAGGCTGACATTTGGAGGCCTCAAAAAGGGAAAGTTTGCTGCCCCCAAGACTGTTTTTATAGCCTTGAATATAGTAGCACATAAAATATTTTTTTTAGAATACAGCTGTTGATTCTAGTTCTCCACTAAGATAATAAAATAAATCAGTTCCTTATTTCTAAATCTTCAGTAAGCTGCACAAAGAAACTGTTTCAATAAATAGTAGGTTGAAAGTCTGTGGGATAAACATGATGAAATGGTGGCTATCTAAAGCCAAATTTCAACTCCACTAAAATAAACACTTGATAGTGTAATAAGAATCTTTTTGTTGTTTGTTACATTACCAGAATTTCTCTTTAAATATCTGGCTGAGAGAATGTTGTCTTATTGCTGAGGTTTGTTAGCTCTCCCCTCCTCAAATAGCATCTATTTAATAGCTTTTAGTTTAATTGTTTTACTACCGCCATTTTTCTTCTTTTCACTGCCAGGATGATGTAGGATTTGGTTCTTAAAATAGTTTTACACGGCTGATCTTAAATTACAAGACAGATGTAGGGAAGAGCTTGCTGCATTACTGAAGAATGAGTACTAGGACAAAGGACAGAAGACATACCTCCCAGATTTCATTTATTGGCAAAGAAAAGGGGGCAGAGTGGTTTTGGTTTTGAATACATTTTTAATCAGTTTTAATAACAACAACGTTATTCTTATACCCCGCCACCATCTCTCCGAAAGGGCTCGGGGTTGCTTATAAATGGGACAAAAAGTCCATAAGAAAATAAACAAAACAAGCCATTAAAAGAGAAACACAGTTAAAATAGAAACATAGATAGATAATGAAGTTAACAAAATTAAATAGACATAAAAGTCTAAAACATTACCATTAAAACTCTATCCAATCAGTGCTCAAAATCCAAGAACCAGGGATACTAAAATGGACACTTAAGGATTTTAACTATTCATTTTTAATTAATACCATTGATGTATTGTCGAAGGCTCTCATGGCTAGAATCACTGGGTTGTTGTAAGTTTTTCAGGATGTATGGCAATGTTCCAGAGACATTCTCTCTCGGTGTTTCGCCTGCATCTATGGCAAGTATCCTCAGAAGTTGTGAGGTCCTCAGACTTCACAACCTGTGGGATGCCTGCCATAGATGCAGGTGAAACATCAGGAGAGAATCCCTCTGGAACATGGCCATACATCCTGAAAAACTTACAACAACCCAGTGCCATTGATGTTTAATTCTGTGTTAATGTTTGTATTGAAATGCTTTTATCGTAAGCCACTTTGAGTCTCCTTTGTGGAGAGAAAAAACAGGGTATAAGTAAACATGATAATAATAACAACACATTTGATATCCAGATTTTTTTTAACTTTTCAGATTCCTCCTTATTTAGTGGACCATGGAGAATCAGGCCCTATCCGGTGTAATAGGTGCAAAGCCTATATGTGCCCTTTTATGCAATTTATTGAGGGTGGAAGACGGTTCCAGTGCTGCTTCTGTAGCTGTGTCACTGAGGGTAAGATTTTTCTACTTTGAAACAATTGTGGAAGATGAGAAGTGCACTTATATTAATGATTAATTTACTTTAGCATTTAGGATATCCCAGTTGTCATAATTAAAGAGTCCAGTGTATGAAAGTGGACTCAGGAATCTATTCATAGGTGCAAGTCTTTGTTTAGTAAGTTTGTTTTAAAGTGTCATAATTCCCTTCCTGATGTTGTTTATCTTCAAGTCAATTCATAGTTAGGGTTGCTCTAAAGTGAATCCATTCCACAGTTTTCTTGACAATATTTGTTCAGAGGGAATTTGTCCATAATTTTTTTTTGAGGTTGAGAGAATGTTGACTGGCCAAAGGCCACACACAGGTTTCCATGGCTGAGCATTTATTTAAACATTCATCTCCAGAACCATATTCCAACACCTAGAGCACTGTACCATGCTGGCTGTCCATAGTGATTCCTCTGTCGTCTTGTCAGCTACAGAAAACATCACTCATATCTAAAAAGTGTACATTTAATTATTTCACTTTCCCTCTGTCCCGCAGTACCATCTCACTATTTCCAGCACTTGGATCACACAGGAAGGCGAGTGGACTACTATGACAGACCTGAGTTATCATTGGGATCCTATGAGTTTTTGGCAACTGTGGATTACTGCAAGGTATGGTTACTTGTAAACACCAAGACATTTTGGTTCTATACTTGAGAGTAAGCCCTGTTGAACCTATCCAGACTAAGTGCCATAGAAAAATCACTAACCTGTTAGGAAGGCACCTATATGATACATGGAAATACACTGAAAAAAACCTCCTTGTTGCTCAAAGTGCACAAAGAATAATTTTTAGAGATCTGTTTTAGTATTATCACTATTATACCAGGAGAAAATATTTTTATTATTACCAAATAAAATGCACTTTAATACTGTACTAAATTATGGCTGTCAGCTTAGAAAAGTATACAAAGTAGGTTTTTTTACCTATCTAGGAATTCTGCATATGTTGAAATTTCTATCAACAAGCCTAACAAATCCCTTACAGGATGTGAGCTGAGGAACACTTTCAGCGTTTTTATCCTTAGTGCATCTGGCCATCTTCTCTTTATTTCCGACTATTTTAAAGTGCATACAGAAACCATTGAAAGAGTCACTTTGTTCTCTGCATTAATACATCAGGCTATATATTCTCACTCAGGACATGTCTTACCAAGCTCTTCTATAATTATTGCCACTGTTCCAATTTAGTGAGGCCTCACATGAAGATAATGATACAAGTGTCTTCTATAGTTTGTTGTGGCTTATATGTTAAGACAATAGTAGAAAACCTAGATCAGGGGTCCTCAAACTAAGACCCAGGGGCCGGATACAGCCCTCCAAGGTCATTTACCCGGCCCTCGCTCAGGGTCAACCTAAGTCTGAAATGACTTAAAAGCACGCAACAGTCCTATCTCATCAGCCAAAAACAGGCCCACACTTACCATTGAAATACTAATAAGTTTATATTTGTTAAAATTGTTCTTCATTTTAATTATTATATTGCATTTAAGTGATTTTTGCACTACAAATAAGATATGTGCAGTGTGCATAGGAATTCATTCATGTTTTTTTCAAATTATAATCCGGGCCCCCAACAGTTTGAGTGTGACCTGGCCCTCTGTTTAAAAAGATTGTGGACCCCTGGCCTCCAATGTCAGCTGATCACAGACATTATCTATGACATTGGTGCTGTCGTAGTGTGATTTGCAGTTTTTATCTGCACTAACATCATTATCACCACCTCATTTGTTCCACCTTTTGCTTTGTGACTGGTTTGCAAGAGATAGCACAGGGAAAGAAGCAGACTACACTATCCTTATCCACTATTTTTACATCTTTCTACTGTGAAAAGAAAAGTGTTTATTGTACTAGTTAGTTATTTCAAGTTGTTCAAAAACGTTCATTTGTTTTCATGAAGCTGGAATAACTATTACAGAAAACATAGCGTTACTACACCATTACTTAAAAAAGGAAAAGTAGTTTTGACAATGTAAAACCATAGTGATAACATTGTGGTGTGGGGTACTTCAAAATAGTGAAGTAATCTTTGGAAAGCACAAAGTAGTTAAGGCATCTAAGTAATTAATAGTTCAGGATAGTAGTTTTATTGTACTATGGCAGCAAACTACTTGTATTTAAAAAGAACAGAAACAGTCTGAAAAGGAATTTAAGAACACCAGACATGGAAAAAACAGTTATTATCTTCAGAAGTGTTGTCCTCCACACCCAAGCACCTCAAATAGTCTGAGGTTTCTATGCTGAAGATTTCTTTGTGAGTTCTCAAGGTAGGGGTAGTTGAACTACACCTGCATTGTACCTCTTAATTGATTTACACTGGCCAACACACATTTTGGTATCGCAAATGTTAGACTTGTTTCTGGGTATATTTGACCTGCTGTTTCCAAAATTGGCACCAGTTTTCCTCTGTCAGCTCTAGTATTTTGAGATACAGAGCATATGGCATGTACCAGTTGCCATCTGCTTGCCCATAGAAAACCATGGTAAGAAACTAGAGATGATGTGGTCTATCCAATGCAATCTTGTGAACCACTTCTCCAAATCACCCCAGGATCAGTCCTAAAAACCAAGACAGCAAGAATTTGTTTTTTGTATTGGGCTGTGAATAATTCTAGCAGTAAAGTGGAATGTGACATCCAGATTAAACTAGCTACTGAATCATAGTGGGAAAGGGGAGTCATTAAAAGATTGCAGTATTTTCAGCATGAAAAAGACAACAACCACACAGCACTGCTTCACCGGGAGAACCATGACATCATGCGATAAGGCTGAGACAAACGCAATAGCAAAACACTACTGTGAATCCATAATGGCATGGTGTGATAAGGCAGCAAGAGATGCTATGTATCATGTAGTACACAGCAAGGAAACCCATATGCACCTGTGACCTGCATTTATTCTGTCAGTATCAATATCTGTGTTTCTCAGTAACATACACACAATAACTTTAGTAAGAGTGTCCCTCTCCTTTTCCACAGAATAACAAGTATCCTAACCCCCCTGCTTACATTTTCATGATTGATGTATCATATAATGCAATAAGGAGTGGCCTGGTGAGGTTGATTTGTGAAGAGCTGAAGACTCTCTTGGACTACTTGCCGAGGTAATTGTGCTGGTGGGATTATGGTCATGAAAAATATGCATAGGGGAAAAATAGACAAAATATCAAATAACCCCTCCCCCCTAAAAAAAACCCTTGGGTCTGACTTATCACAGTTCAATGTGAGGTACCTTATCAGGCTGGGTGGGAAATAGTAGAGCACTTTGACATTTCCCCACCACAGTGGAGATAGTAGAGAGGATCAGTGCTTCTTCCAAGGCAGACTTTTGACTTGTTTCACCCACTTATGATCCCACTTATACCCTACTAGTAACAGCATTAGGGAAACGCTGTTTTCAATGCTTGAGCAATAAAAAGTAAATATTCACAATGTGGCAACATTTGGCAGCTATACGTCTACAAGGAATTTTGCGTGAATGGTGTCTGTTGAATTTGTTATAAGTAGAGATAGAAGCTTAATTACCTTTTTATGCCACAATATTTGAATTTGCTCTGCTTGATTTTGACCTTACCTTCCATACTTAATTTCTCCATTTTGTTTTTAAAACAGAGAAGGAAACATGGAAGAATCGGCCATCCGTGTGGGCTTTGTCACCTACAACAAAGTTCTGCACTTTTATAATGTGAAGTCCTCTTTGGCGCAGCCGCAAATGATGGTAGTTTCAGATGTGGCAGATATGTTTGTGCCTCTGCTTGATGGTTTCCTGGTTAATGTTAATGAGTCCCGCACAGTTTTCACAAGGTAAATTGAAGCTGTCAATCTGGCATTCGATTTGAATAGTAGCAGGAACATCCTTACGCTTTCCTTTTACCCATTGTGGACCTTAAAAAAGATGTATTATATGATGAAGCACTTAAATGTATGTTATGGGGTGGGCATCTCTTCTAGTGTTTCAGCCCTGTTTTCAGAGCCCATACTGACCACTGGTTAGTGTGGGTTTAGAGTCCTGCCCATCCACTGAGCATTCTTCTAGATAGCTTTTGATGAAGCCAAGGATTTTTAAATGCCTGGCACATTTTAAGCTTTGAGGTTTTGTCTGTTTATTGTGACCATGTTCCAATTTTAGTATATGTGCTGCTGAAGTGAGCACTTGTGACCATATATGTGCTTGTTTTTACTCTTTCTCTGTTTTTCTCACTGGTATATATGAGGCATGCATTGAATGGGTTCATATATATATTGCCCAAAACGAGAGTTGTTTGAACTATTGTTCGGTTTATTATATAAAGAAACCCCCTTAATGTCACCTTCCAGTTCGATCCATCCAAGGCAAAACTAAAGATTGAGTATTCTATCAAAGATTGATGTCTATACATTCTAGAAAGGAAAGCAATAGACTTCATGGAATGGGATATGTCTAAACTGGCTCCAAAGCCAGGTGGGGGTTGGCTTAAGGCAGTGGTTCTCAACCTGGGATCCCCAAATGCTTTTGGCTTCCAACTCCCAGAAATCCTAACAGCTGGTGAAGTGGCTGGGATTTCTGGGAGTTGTAGGCCAAAAACATCTGGGGACCCCAGGTTGAGAACCACTGGCTTAAGGGATATTACCAGCTGTAAATCCTTTACCCCAAGGTAGCTTCAACTGAAGCAAGAGTGACGAACTTATAGTTTTGAATAATGGTGCATGGGCTAAATGGTGTGGCTCCTATGCAAAGTGGAACACTAGTCGAAAACACAATCGAGATATTTTCTGCCTCTGGTGAGCTGTAAGGTGCAGCATTTTGAGAGATGTATTATTTCTTCTGCTATCTATGTTTTTAACTATCTTGAAAATTGTTTAACTGATGGGGAAGCAGTGTATTAACTTTTGGATATGGAATTTAAGCAGACAGAAATGTAAAAACATGATTTGGGATCTCCTTTTCTGTTAGTGGAGAAAGGAAGCAAACATCCCACCCACTTCCTAAGCTGGTAAAAAGGATATTTATAGCAGTATCTTGAAATCACACAGCATTGGTTTCCATTTACTTGTCTCAGTGAATTTTAAACACGTTGTGACCTTCATTATTTGATTTCTAGTTTACTAGACCAGATTCCTGAAATGTTTGCTGATACAAGAGAAACAGAGACAGTGTTTGGTCCAGTGATTCAGGCTGGCATGGAGGCTTTAAAGGTTTGTTTAGTGTTTTTCATCTGCTCAAACCAGGAGATGGGACCTTAGAAGTAGACCTTAGAAGTCTGCACCCCATTGCCTGAAAAAAGTGTGTGTGGGGATTAGGACAAAAATCATTTCTCAACTGTTTGTTTATTTACGGCATTTATATGCTGCCCTTCTCACCCTGAAGGGGACTCAGAGTGGCTTACAAAATATATATACATACAATATATTATATTATTAGCATAGCACAATATCAGTATTATATATAACCATATTGTACTATACCATTATATTGTAATATTATTAGCAATATTACATGTGATATAAAATATACAATTATAATATTGTATTATTATACGAGTTGGATATATAAGTATATATAATGCAAACTTTTAAAATATTGGATGGTTTAAATCAGTGAATATGGAGAACCAATTGTACTACAGCAATAACAATTAGGGCATGCCTAACTTCCAAGTACATAAAAATCAAACCCCTTAAGTAAAATACAGTGGCTCTCAGTATTTACGTGGGTGTGGTTCCAGGACCCACAGTGAATACCAAAAACGGTGGATGCTGAAATCCTATGATATACAAGGGTGCAATAAAATGCTATCCCTTATGTAAAAGGGGAAAAGTCAAGGTTTGAGATAGATATTCAAGCTGTGGATAGTTGCATTCATGGATGCAGAGAGCCCACCCTATTGCAAGCCAAGCTGCATGGCAGGGTTCCTTTTTCTCCTTCTCCTTTACATACCTCCTTTGCCTTTTCTCATTCCTATTCCTCCTCTCGTTTTCATTTGTTTCTCATGACCAGCTGCTTTCTGGGCCTTTTCCCCTCCCTTAGCAGCTTGAGCTGGGCTGTTTCTTTACCTCCTCTGATAGACGGAGCAGCCGCTTCTCCGGGGGGGGGGGGGGGGGGGGGGGGTTGCAACCCCAACATTAATGTAAGGGGCCCCCATTTGGGGTTGGGACCCAAGTTGAAGAAGTTCTAGTCTAATCAATACAAAAATACATGTTTTGAAATGTTATCGAATTATACAAGAAGTTAAATTTAGCAACTCTGAAGGAACGAAACTTTTTTGGAAATTACATTTGAGACTAAAAATAGGTGAAAACAAATTGAATTCAGTTTGTGAAAGCCTAACTTACAAATCATTATCAGGTCAAATCAGAGAGAATGCACGGAAAACTATCTATAAATGGTTTTACTATCCATTCAAGTTACACAGGGTTTATTCTTGAGTATCAAAACTATGCTGTAGAGCAGACATGGGCAAACTTCGGCCCTCCAGGTATTTTGGACTACAACTTCCACAATTCCTTGGCTGTTGGGAATTGTAGTAGTTGTTGTCTAAAACACTTGGAGGGCTGAAGTTTGCCCATGCCTGCTGTAGAGAAAGTGGAGCATTTGGAGATTGGACTCATATGTGGCTGTTATGTCCAAAGAAGCTAAAATTTTGGGAAGAGGTCTTAACCTGAATAAGCTGAATAATAGGACAAAAGTTAGAGGGACACTGCTACTTATAGCCTTATTTGAAGACAGAAACAAGAATCTACCAAACAAAGAGTTTATAGTTTTCTTGGCATTAACATACAAAGTAAAATGAGAGGGGAAATAAAAGATTGGTTTGAGCTCATAAGGAAACAATGTGTTAGGAATATGAACCAGAGTAACAGCAAATTTAAACCAACCTCAGGTCACATAAGATTTTGGTTAAATAACTATAAATGTATGACTTGGTGAGGGATAAAGCAAACTTTTAGACTGTGATTTTATATAATGGTGAAATTTAATAAAGAGAAAAGAAAAATGCATTTCACAGAAGAGAACCATTTAGACAGGAGGTAGTTGCTGAATAAGGCAGAGCCCTCAATTGTCATTTTTGCTCCTGATATGAGAACTTCTGCTCACTTGCAGGCAGCGGAGTGTGCAGGCAAACTCTTCATATTTCATACATCACTGCCTATTGCAGAAGCCCCAGGAAAATTGAAAAATAGAGATGATAAGAAGCTGATAAATACTGATAAAGAAAAGGTAATTTGTTCTCTGTTCTGTTGGTTGCACTTGTGTTTCTTCTTAGTCATCTGGAAAAAAGATAAAAGAAATTTGAGGGGGAAAATGCTAATGAATTTGAATACCTTTCACTTTTTGTTGCCCCCATGTTGCCCTTGATTCCTTCCCTGCCTTTTTCCCTTTTTCTCTCTTGCTCACAGAATTTACCCTTTAATGCCCAGTCATACCTAACACTATTATTTCCTCTTAGAAGAACTGAATGAATTCAGTACCTTGGTCTGTTATAGTTCCTGAGAGCTTTTAATAGTACAAGAAGCAGTGTGGACTCCATATTTGAATGTAACCCCACCTGTAAAAGGAAACAGGAAAGTAATACTAGGAAAATGTTTGGCTACTCGTTTCTTCCTACAGCTGTAGGAGGCAAGCAGCAAAAACTAAATGTGTACAAGAGACATCGTTTAATGATCTCGTCCCACTACAGTGAAGATAATAAGACTGTGTGTGCATAGTAGCGTTACTGTAGTAAAGATTTTATATACTGAGTTTCTATTTCGGAAAAGAGAAATTATAGACCTTGCTCTTTTATTTCACATCAAAAATATATGATTACACTTTTAATTTCCATTCAGAGCAGGTCCCAGCTCAGTATAATTCTACCCCTTGGGAACACATATCCTGGCTTAACATTTTTCTAGCCAGCTTTACTTCCACCAAGTGATCCTTTTCCTGTCAAGAGTTGACCTTGGCCCCTTCTACATTGCCATATAATCCAGATTATCAAAGCAGATAATCCACATTATCTTCTTTGAACAGGATTATATGAGTCTACACTGCCATAGGAGCCCCCTGTAGCGCAGTGGGTTAAAGCAGTGAGCTGCTGAACTTGCTAAGCAAAAGGTCGCAGGTTCGATTTTGGGGGGCAGCGTGAGCTCCCATTGTTAGCCCCAGCTTCTGCCAGCCTAGCAGTTTGAAAACATGCAAATATGAGTAGATCAATAGGTACTGCTCTGACGGGAAGGTAATGGCACTCCATGCAGTCATGCTGGCCACATGCCCTTGGAGGTATCTATGGACAGCGCCAGCTCTTTGGCTTACAAATGGAGATGAGCACCACCTCCAGGAGTCAGACACGACTGGACTTAATGTCGGGGGAAACCTTTACCTTTACCTACTCTGCCATATAATCCAGTTCAGATCAGATAGTCTGGATTTTAAATGGCAGTGTAGTGTAGAGTGATCTTGCTAAGGCAAAGCAAAACAATTCACCATACAGTACAGCTATGTTTGTTGTTGTATTCCATCAAGTAATTTCTGGCTTACAATGACTCCGCAAACAAACCTATGAACTTTTCTTTGCAGAATTTGTTCAGAGGGGCTTTTTCATGAGGCTGAGCAACAGTGACTTGTCCAAGGTTCCCCAGTGTATTTTCACAATCTAGCAGGGATTTAAATCCTGGTTTTCCAGTATCCTAGTTCTAGTCAAACAAACTAGAACACCATACTGATCTGTTTGTTTAGGCCTTGCAAATTCTACTTTTAAATGACTCCTATAACCAAATAGCATTAAAACACACTTTTAAAAAGATGTTTTCCAGTAGTGTTACACCCCAACCCTTCTCTATCCCTTTTGTCTGACTGCTAAACACAAACGTTGCTAAAAATCAATTGTTACATCCTTCATCAAGGATCTTGAGAGCTGGCTTACATGAGGAGCTAATCTTGGTACTGATTAACTAGTACAGACTCCTGAAGCATTTTAATGTCCCAGAAAGACAAAATAATATATACAGTACTTGATTTTAACTTTCATTTTTGGTCATGTGGTGAGAAACAAGCCTGTACAATCAGGTGTATTAGAATTCAGCTCCCAGAATTTCTGACCATAGGACAAGTTAGCTAGGGCCTCTGGCAATTGGAGGCCAAAACATCTGGAGGACCACAGGTTGTGCAGATCTGCTGTAAAAAATTTTTTTTGTAATTTTACATGTTTTGAAACACATGTTTTAATTTTCAGCCTCATTTTGATATCTCTGCATCATTTGTTTTCCCCTCTCAACCTAGACTCTATTCCAACCTCAGACGGCATTCTACAACAACTTGGCCAAGGAGTGTGTAGCACAAGGCTGCTGTGTGGATCTCTTCCTTTTTCCAAACCAGTATCTGGATGTGGCCACCTTAGGGGTTGTTCCATATCAGACAGGAGGCTCCCTTTATAAATACACCTTTTTCCAGGTATGATCTAGTTTGGTTTTCATGCCTGTTTGGTATAAGTCATTTTGGAAATGGCAGTTGCTTTGCTGGTCTCAAAAAAGGAAAAAATTATAGATATAAAGAAAAAATGTTTTGATTGACACAATCTGAGTTAATGTGAAAATATAAGGGTTCCTTCCAGATAGAGAAAGAACTCTTTTGACTCACTGCCTTGCCTGGAAATTTTCTTTGAAGCCTGAAAGTGGATGCATTCAAGTACCAATCTACATTGGATCATACACATGCTATTAAGAAAATGGAAATACAATGTTTCTGGAAATGACTAGATCTTAGGAGAAAATCTTGACTTATTCAGATGAATTCCTTCTGGTTATTCAACTCAAACTGAATAAATATGTAGATTTAATGTCTCTCTTTGTTTGTGATGCCCTAAGCCACATGTATCAAACTCAAGGTGCGTGGGGCAAATCTATGTCATTTTATATGGCCCTCCAGATGCTGAACTACAACTCCTGCATTCTTCATCATTAGACATCATGACTAGAGCAGATGGGAGTTGTGGTGCAACAACATCTGGAAAGCTGGAGTTTTTCCTGTAGTGGGGTTTGAAAACAAAGCTTGTGAATATGATGTCTGACTTTAAAATATGCTTTAATCTTTCTTCAACCTCAGAACCACAAGTGTGGATGAGTTGCAATTCACATTATTCCCAGTCTGCATGGCAGATAATAAAAAGTGATGGGGATTGTCGTTTAATAACTTTTGGGAACCCAAATTGCATAAAAACTAAAGAACTATATAAGAAAAGTATAGTTGGCATTCTGTATCCATGGATTCTTTATTGGTGTATTCAATGGCCCTTTAAGGCAACCATAGGGCTGATGTGGCCCTCAATAAAAATGAGTTTGACACCCCGACGCTAAGCTTTAATTTAAAAAAAAAACCTATATCAGCAAGTGACTTCCAGTTTACTATCTAGCAAGCAGATGGAAAATCCTTCTGAGTTTGTACATTGTATAGCTGAATTTCTTTTAAAAATCTTCAAGGATATGGATGTGCATAGTTTGTGTATTTAACTTACTTAGATATTGCTTCCTTTATAAATTGGAGCCTTAAAAAAGCTTAGGACTAGTAAGACACTGAGATTCATAGATCACTGCATGAAATCCTTTTTATTAACTATTTACGCTAGGTGGAAACGGATCAGGAGCGCTTCTTGAATGATTTGCGTAGAGATGTTCAGAAAGAAGTTGGCTTTGATGCTGTCATGAGGGTACGCACAAGCACTGGTGAGTACCTACGAAGATGTAGTGTATATGGGTTGAATGTATACCGAAGTATAGTAACAAATCTGCTGATGTTAGCTTTCAGTTTATCTTGCTCTTCCCCAGTGATAGCACTTCTGGTCAATGTGTCAAGCATTTCCTTAGTAATTGTCTTTTTGCCTCCCAGGTATTCGGGCAACAGACTTCTTTGGAGCTTTCTATATGAGCAACACAACAGATGTAGAACTGGCAGGTCTAGACTGTGACAAAACAATCACAGTAGAGTTCAAACATGATGATAAACTAAATGAAGAAAGTGGGGCACTTCTCCAGGTAAATATCATTGTAGTGTTTATAATGAGTAGTGGTTAATTTTTTCTTACGATTTTTGTATTTTGCTTAAATACTAAACCCTTGTGGCCTTGTAATACTTAATGCCATTCAAGCATGTAGTGAGTGAAATACAAATTGCAGGAAGAAAGATTCCATCTAAACATTAGTCACAACTTCCTGATGGTGAGAGTTGTTTGGCAGTGGAATATGCTGCCTGGGAGTGTGATGGAGTCTCCATCTCTGGAGGTTTTTAGGCAGAAGCTGGATAGCCATCCTGTGGGGGTGACTTGATTGTGTTTTTCCTGCATGGCAGGGGGTTGGAATGGATGGCCATTGAAGTCTATTCCAACTATTCTGTGTCAAACAAAAAATGATTGGGAACATTTGAACTTGGGTTGAATTGTTTGACACAGAAAATTGTAATATATCTACTTGTGATTTCTTTCCTGTAGTGTGCTGTATTGTATACAAGTTGTGCCGGACAGAGGCGGCTGCGTATTCACAACCTCTCCTTGAGCTGCTGCACACAGCTGGCTGATCTTTACCGAAACTGTGAGACGGACACACTTATCAACTACTTAGCCAAATTCGGTAATTGATTGCTCTCTTACAATTTTCTAGAGAGGACAGCTTGACCCCCAGAGCAGCCTTGCTGAAGACAGGCTGCACAAAATAACTGTTTGGATTCTTCCTATACTATGCATGTGGTTGCTTTTCAGGTTAATACAACTGAAAGAAAAGTTGATGTCTACATAAAACCAGGATGAGTGGTAAAGAAACTGGTGCCTTGGGTGTCACAACTTCCTGATGGAAGTTTTTGTACAATTTTGTACAATTGTTGTAAGAAGACATAATTAGCATATGTTCCCCAGATACTTTAGCATTTAGCAGGTTGATTCTGTGAATATAAAAAGCATTTAAAAGGCATTAAATGAGCCGTTCTCCATTAAAAATAAACATGCTAATCTTTTAAGTGCCAGATTTCTGATGTTTATACAGGAACTGCATATCCCTCATAACATCCAAATCTTATGTAAAAATCTTACAAGTATTGAGTCATATTATCACTGTTCCATCTATCGCTTGATTAAGACAATATGATATTTCCTCAATTTCTTTAATAAAGCCTGAGTTATAGTTGTGAAGCACATGCCTTAGCTACACAACTTCCTGAATCCAATATCTGGTGTTTCTAGTCAAAGGATTTCTAACATGTCTGGAGAGCTTTTGTGATCTTGCCAGTTAGTGGGCAGTTGGGAACTAGATGAACGAATGATCTGACATGGTCCAGAATAACTCCCATTGTAGTATTTCCTTAGCAGTATAAATGGTAGTATTAATATTGGATCACTTGCCTTGTTGATTATTTTTGACCTACATTTTTTTTTAAAAAAACTATAGTACACAGATATATGTACGTTTACCAACAAGTGGTTTGTATTTGCTTGTTTCTTGTTCATTGTAGCATATCGAGGCATTCTGAACAATCCAGTCAAGACAGTGAGGGATACTTTGATCAATCAGTGTGCCCAGATCTTGGCTTGCTATCGGAAAAACTGTGCTAGTCCGTCTTCTGCTGGACAGGTAACTATTTTGGCTTGACTGTTGAATACCAATCCTCATGAATCTTTTTTTTTTTAGAAAAACAAAAACAGTAATTGGATATGGGTAGATAATATATATTGATGTATGTAAGTAATATATAGATAATATATAGATGCTTTTTTTCTATTTAAAGCAACACAGCTGAGAACAGCACATTTAGAGTCGATTGGGGTAAACTATAGAGAGGATGCAGATATTTGATTTGGATTGGGACCTTGTTAACAGCTTGTTTATTTTAACTTATGTTGTACTGTATGTGTGTTTGTCAAATGTTTTTGATACGACTAATAGGCTAATCAATAAAACATACTTGTACTTGATGTGTGTGTATGTAATCTGACCATATTTCCAGAAACAATTTTTTGACACTAATGTCTGTAAAATATACCTTCTGTTGTAGCTAAATCAGTAAGATTCTCTAACCATTGAACAATATAAGATGATAAATGTTTATCATCCCAACTTTGATTTATGTGTACATTTTAGCAAGAGCAAAAAAATGTAGAATCTAATCACGTTGAGAAATTAAATTCCACATTACATATTTATGATTTAAAAGTACGCAATGTCTACAAATATCAAATAATTTTCTAATACAGAATTAATGCATTGTCCTACATCCAACCAAAAGAGTTAAACAGCAAAAAGACTAAGTTGTGATACATGAAGAGCTACCATAGGAGAGAGAAAAAACAGTGTAATGAGACTGAAATGGAAGGAAAGCTATAGGTTTATTCCACAGAATTCCTTCTCCAGTATTAAAAAACTAAGACATAAAATTAAACACATGGCTCATTGTAGTATCACTTCAGAAATCGAAGTCTCTATATGTAGATTTTTTAATCATCTTGAAGACTTTATTTTGGCTTTATAAGGGTTATAACAGCTATTTGTACATGCTTTGCTAATGTCGCTTTTTGTTTTTGTACAGTAAGTAACAGTTTTTATACTTCTTTTGAAGGGTGCTGATTGTGTTTGCTTTGCATCCTGTATCAATAAACAAATCTTGTCCATAAAATACTGTGAACTGTTGCCTTGGGTTGCTATATGTCAAAAATAATCTGAAGACACATAGCAATGAAAATGGTGCCCTTTATACGTAATTCATAGTATTCGTTTAATAGTTTGTAAAATCTGAAACCTATATATTTTTAACATTTTAGGACTATTGCACTCTTTTGTCTCTTCTGTAATAAGTTCTCTTTTCTCTTGAAAAAAGAGACAAATGGTTTCTGATCTTTTGTCGTAAAAGACATCGTTCCTATAGGATTATTTTTGTATATAACAGTAACACAGCGTTTTTAACAATGTATATTAATATTTGATATTTATTAATAGCTATAGTTAGGAAGAATAAGCCCGTCCAAAAGAAATCGAAACACCAGATGGTTTGAACAGACTTAATTCTAAATAACACTGATATAATTACTTCTCTGCGCTTATCCAGGATTGCTAGGATAGCAGTAATACTTAGACTCTTCATTTCACATGTGTATCAAATGGCATACTGCTGAGTGAATGGTATGGAACAAGAAATAGATTATGTGCCTTGAATTAGTTTATAGTGTGTTCTGAAAAATTTTAAAATGTAGCCACATCGGATATGTAGGATAGATAATACAGTTGCAGTTCTAATTAGACATGCAGTGTACAAAATTATTTCCTGAAATCTTTTTTTGATCTGTAGTAAATATTCATGTTAACAGTTAGTTGTGATTCTACTGAATCCGCACAAAACTCACCTAGTCACTAAGGATTTTTCTTAATTTCCTCTGATTCTTGTAGTTGATTCTTCCTGAGTGCATGAAACTACTCCCTGTGTATCTCAACTGTGTTTTGAAAAGTGATGTGCTCCAGCCTGGCTCTGAAGTCACTACGGATGATCGTTCCTATATCCGTCAGCTTGTCACCTCAATGGATGTGGCAGAAACAAATGTTTTCTTCTACCCCAGACTCTTACCACTGGTATGTATGTCTGTATGTGAAATGGGTTTAATTGCTAGATATATAGTTCATGAAATAAGTAAAAAATTAAATGAGTCTACTGTGTCTAGGTGGAAAGTTTGATAGGAAGAACCCTTAAAACTCAAAACTTTGCTATTGATGGTCTAGCTGTTGTTGCCCCCTTGATTTATATTCTGCCCTTCCTCACAGGAACCGAGAGCAATTAACAATTTAAATATAAAGTGAAATCGCAAATTGCAAACACTACTTAAAACCACAAATTACCATATTTCATCGCAAAATAGTCTCACTTTTCCCTTTTTTTAAAAAAAAGGTGTGTGACTAATACGTCAGGGGAAAAAGTCTTTTGCATGAAGTGGGTGGGCTGGTCTTTGAGCAAGGAGGTGAATGAGTAAGTGGATGGCTGTTTACAGTTAGGAAGTTGCCTATTTGTAAATCAAGGGTGTGACTCTTACTCCATGGCAACTATTATACAATGAAATACAATAAATACATGATAAAATTCAGCCAATGGCATATCTTGATATTTTGAAGTTGCTCTCAAATGTGAAGTTTATTAATAATAATAATGATAATGATAATAAGAATAATATTTTATTTATACCCCACCACCATCTACCCAAGGATACGCGGGGCGGCTTACATGAGGCCAAGCCCAACATTTATTTCAAAACAAATATGCAACATAAAATAATACATCAATAAAATATAATAAAAATACAGTAAAAAGCGATAGAAGATAAACACACAATCCAAAATAAAATCACAATAGTCGATCACGGTGGACAGGGCCGCTTGCAAAGATTAAGATGTATAAAAACTCTAGGTGAGATTAATAGGGCTTAATAAAAAGATCATTTTGTAAGAGTGGCCCATTCTAATTTGCATAGCGTTCATTTGATACATTCAAAGCTGCTATTCCTGATTAAATGTGATACGGAAATATCCAACAAGGATGATAATTCCAATTTTCTATCTACAGACCAAAGTAGACTTCAACAGCGATTCCTTACCAACAGCAATCAGAAATTCTGAAGAGCGTCTCTCCAAGGGCGATATATACCTGCTTGAAAATGGACTGAATATATTTTTGTGGGTAGGAGTAAATGTTCAGCAGGGGCTGATCCAAAACCTCTTTGGAGTTTCATCATTCAGCCAGATTAACAGCTCTATGGTGAGTCGGATCAAATTATTTTATTCTTAGATATTATTAGATCTTACCTTATGCTAAGAAATAATTACAAATTTATTTCGTTTATTAATTTAATTAAGAGATTATTGATCTTTATTTTTTAGTGTGTGCTACCAATTTTGGATAATCCCTTTTCAAAGAGAGTACGATCTATCATTGAAATGTTCCAGTCTCAAAGGCCACACTATATGAAGGTAATTTATTCTTAAGGCTGTGAAAATTATCTTTACTACATCCTGTGACTCTTTTTAATCAAAGAAGTTATATAAATCTGCATTTGAAAAATCTTGAAAAAATCTGCAGAATTTATTTTGATGAATGGAACTGTAGTAGTTGTGCTTTCTAATATAGTTCCTGGCTCAGTGTCTTCAGGTTTTTGAAAAACAGAGTTGTTAAGAGCCCTTTGGGGAGGTCCTGTATAGTATTTTAACTATTTTAACTGTTTTTAATGTTTTAACCGATTTTAACAATTTGTATGCTTAATTCTATTTTAATATGTATATGCATTTTTAATTGTTGTGAGCTACTTTGCGTCTCAACTGCAGAGATAGAAACTGGATGCTAATAATAATCTATATAAATAAAAATGTAATGTTCGTTTGTGGGATTAACATAACTCAAAAACCACTGGATGAATTGACACCAAATTCGGACACAAGACACCTATCAGGCCAATGAGTGACCATAACTCATAAAAACACTGGAAAACAGCAGAAACGACTTAAAAAGCCAAAAAACAAAAAATACATTACAACGCATGCGCAAAACCACATACACACACACACATATATATATACACACACACACACATACACGCAGACACATGTATAAACACATATACACAAATATATACACACACATATACACACAGAAAACACATATACACAGACTGGGCCACAGCAACGCGTGGCAGGGGACAGCTAGTAATAATAATAATAACAACAACTTGGAAAGTGCCCAACGTGTGATCCAATACAAAAGCCAGCATAGTGATCATGTTTGCTGTGTACTAATTTTGTGTGTATCAAATAATAATAATATATCAATATAACACATAGATGCTTCTTGGTTCCTCAGATATTTCTTCATGGGATAACTAACAACTTGAAGTTCTAGTAGTATTTTACACCAAAATCACCACCAACTGGCATCTAACAAAGATTTTCTTTTTCTTACAGCTCATGATTGTGAAGCAAGAAGACAAATTAGACCTGCTGTTCAAACACTTTTTGGTGGAAGATAAGAGCATGAATGGGGGGGCTTCCTATGTGGATTTCCTCTGTCACATGCACAAGGAGATTCGCCAGTTGCTGAGCTAGAGTTGGAGTTATGCTGGATTCCAGCACTGACACTTCTGTGTTCACTAATTGCCTGGTGAATGGGCCCGACTCTTTCAGAACAATATAGAAACCTGTACAATTCCATAATTTTTAATATACTGTGCATAACAGTTTCAGTATCTCCCATACCCTTTGAGAGAGTGAGACATGGACAGATGAAACGCAGACTTAGGGTGGAGGAAGTTCTTTGATTCCAGGTCTTAGGCCTGTGTCTCTCTCACTGTGCTTGGCAGGTTTTGACACCCTCTGCCTCTCGCCACCCCAGTTCTGTTATAAGAAATGTCTTTTGAGTTCACTATACATGATTCAGCATCAGGAGAAAAAAAATGACTGCTTCTCAAAACTACACAGTGGCTGCTATATTTGCTCATGTGATAATCTAAATGAAAAGAAGCAAGATAGGGGAAAGCAGATGGCAGACCTTGCTCTGTCAAGAGAGATGCTGGATATAGCAGTCAATCAACTTCTTTATATCTGGGATGGAAGTAATATACTGTGAACAAATTACAGTGGGGTGATTTAGAAAACATAACCTCCTCTCCAAGCCAGGGAAGCAGAGTAAACATGCCTCCACTGTAGTTGTGTTACTATGCATATCTGCTTGGAGTAAGTGGGTGGTATGGAGCAGGTGCTGTCTCCGGGAAAGTATTATGAACATACGTTGCCACCACCCTTTCTGGGAAACTGAGCACCCTTTCCCCCTTTTTGCCAGTGTCTTCTTAATTTAGTGCCTGTTGCCTCTTTCCATTTATGTGCAAGGGTTTTTCTTGGAATATTTCCTTAAGATGGTTGTGCTTTCCCTTATTTTCATTTTAGAAAGTAATGTTATATAACAAAGTGTCAAAACGACATAGGAGGATACTTGAGATGATCAGTTGGAATTGTACCCAAAAAGCACTGAGTCTTGTCGCACCTTGTGAAAGGAATAGTTCATATAAGGTTCAAATCATGTCGCAATGTTTGCTGAAGTGGAAGTCCTAAGCAGTTTTGAATAATTTTGACCTCACGTACATTAACATACAGCACGTAAAGGTTACATCCTGAGTGATTCGTATTGGTCCACCAGTATCATATACCTGGTGCTGTGCTTCAAACAAGAAGTCTGTTTATGGCTGCCCTCTCCAATGATGAGCAAAAGGCATTTTGCTTGAAGTGGGTAGAAGAGATTTGGTAGCAATACAGTGATGCTTTCCAAACTTCAAGGAGTCCAAGGGCTCATCAAGTTTCAAAGGGAAACTAATTATTTTTAAAGAATGCGATGCTTATATATTCTTGCAGTGTCTGAAATGTACAGAGGGAATAGAAGCACTGGACTTGGAAACAGGAAAAGCAAGGAAGGAGATTGCTTAAGCAAATGGTGAATTAAGACTGAGTTTAGGTAAAGCATTTATTCCATCTGCCATTGAAAACTGAAATTTCAAAGTGATGTACATGACTGATTAAATAATCCAGGAGTGCGGTTTCTAATCCCATAACCTACAATGTGTGTATGTGTGTGCGCGTGTGCGTGTGTGTTTGTAAATATTTTCCTTCTATTGCAGCTAGTTTGTCTTTTCTCTCATGTCCCTTTCATTACATAGTAAAGGGGGGTGTTTAAGAATTATAATTGACCAGATCTCAAGGGGTTTTTAGCAGTCTATTTGCAAGTGTGACTGAGCCATTCCCTGACTCCCTGGCCCAAACACATAATGCTGATCCCAACCAAAATATTTAGAGATTATACCAATAAAGAGACTTGCTCTCTAAAACAAGGCTGAAGAACCAGATTTCAATACTAATTTCTAGAATTAATATAAAAGAAAAATAAGATCATAAGATTTTCTTCACTTTTTCAATTCATCTTTTAATTTGTAAAGAAATAATTATATGAAGATGTATTTTATGTCATTGGTAGTAAATAAATACTGATTATTTTTTTCCCAAGCCCTCTATTTTGGGGGAGGGGGATAAAGTGGTGTGCAGGTGACTCGAGTCAAGTTCAATAATAGCAAATAAAACCTTGTATTTGCAATGATCTAAGCAAAGAATACTATAAGGCACAAGTTTTTCTTATTCTCGGTAAACATATTTTAGCCATCAATTCTGTTAACTTTATTCCCAGAGATTGTCATATTGTGAGCAAACTCTTAAAAGATTTCATTATCTCTAATGACCACTCTGATCTGTTTTCATTAATATTGGGTTTGGAACTTTCTGGATGGGTACGGGATTGAGAGAGAATTGCATATAATATTTTGGCTGATACCATTGTTTGAAAGTGAAAAGAACATTTTGTTGCTGACTCTCCAGAATACCTCTTTGAAATTTTTAATGTTACTTTTTCTAAAGTAACACTTTTCAGGAATTGATAAATTGCTATTTGGGGCAGTAGGATTTTAGTACACAGTGTGGAAAGAACCAGGCTGTCCTAGAAGACTGTTATATAATCTACTGTTCAATTATGTTTGCCATTTATTTGCATCTTTTTTCTACCACAACAGCATATGTTCACTCGTCCTTCAAACACAATTTGTTTTGAGAGGGTGATATAAAACTTGGAAAAGTCATATCAAAATGTTGTTTTAAAATAACCTTTAAAATGTTATTTACTGACATTACTACTCCCTTTTCCTTTTAAATTGTGAACAAGGTGGCACACATATTGCCTCTCAAAGGTAACCAATTTCTCTTCGCTGTTACTTTGTTAGTTCTCCATTACTGATGAAGTGAAAAATAATTACTGTATTGAAAGGGAAGTCCATGCTAGCACCATCTTGAAAAACAACTCCATGGGAAGTCTGTCTTCATACTACAGTGCTGCTTGAAAAACCTATGTCATCTAAGTAAAAAAGCTACCACTCTTTCCATCTCCAACTATCACCTTGGGGAGCATAGAGTGCCAGGAATTACATCACTGGAGGTCCCCTTGTCACTGTTTTGAGCCATGGCTGTAGACAGGGAAATAGAGAGAGGGTGAGGGCAGCAGGTTGTGTGAAAGGGCAAAAGAGACCTGTACTAAATTGTGGTGAAAGGGAAGCACAGGGTGCATCTACACTATAAACTTAATGCAGTTTGATACCACTTTAACTGCCATGGTTCAGTTCGATGGGATCATGAGAATTGCAGTCTTACAAAATCTTTAGCTTCTCTACACAAGAGTGCAGATGTCTCATCAAACTAAAACTCCCAAGATTCCATAGTACAGGCAGTCTCCAAGTTATGAACTAAATAGGTTCTATAGGTTAATTCTATAGGTTAAAGCTGGGCTTTCCACAGAAGTTGA